ATTACTAAATATTCGTAGTTTACTAGAAGAAAATGCTCTATTACATTAAATACACCACTGAGCCCTCTCTTAGACCTCATAATATGAGTATTATCCTAAGTTGTCCCAGTTATTGAGACCGATACGGACAAAGTAAATATGTAGTTCATCTAAATACATAATCCAATGTTTAATAAAACTAGTTCTATTATCTGAAGTTGTTTGACCACTAGTCTATAGTTATTAGTTATTTGACATGAATTCCTTTCCTAACCCAGATGCAATGAGGCCATTAATGACGGGCCCGGGGGCATGTGGTCAATCTAGTGTTGCTTTATTATTATTTTTTTCTTTGATTTTGGCCTTATTGTTGATTTAATCTAGAATAAGCATAGGCAGGTCGACTTTCTCATAATAATCGTGGTAATTCGTAAAATATTTAAACTAAGAAATATTTTGTCTAGTAACATTTATGTAAAAGAATAAAATCCTTTGAATACTAAAATATTTTCATCTAAATAAACAAAGAAATACTCACGCCTATAATTCTCTTTTTTTCAGCCACGATAGTAGTGCTAGCCCACGCCCATGTGGACACAATCCACTCCTACGGAGAGAACCTCCATGCAGCCGAAGGTCTGACCACCAAGGAACATCAGCTAGTCCAAACAGAACAGATCCACGAAGCGATATTCATGATGCTGCAAATGATTAACGGCCTCAAGTGTCTACAAGCTCGAGGAGTGGAAGAAATCCCTGAGTCCTTGACATCTTTTATAGCCTTGAAGGAAGTTCAGCCCCTTGTGTCTCATGGAAGCACATTAAATCTACCGTCTCCTGACGACAGGTTGAACTCCTTGTGGGCACCGAAAACGAATTCTTATGGAAGACTCTGCATTTTACAAGGGTAAGTTGCATTGACAAAACTTTTTTTGACTTGACGACTACTCCAAAAATCTTTGAGAATTTTCAGATAATATTATCACTAACTGTAAAAGAACCATCTAATTTATACCCAACCCCGTTCACTTTACGTAAAATCAAACTATAAAGACGTGGCTTAAATTAACTATGTTTGTAAATAAATCATATTTTTCTCGTTTCCAGATTGAGCGACGAAATCAACAGTAAATCGACAGACGAGGGCCATCTCAATTCTCTGTGTAAATGTGCTATAAAAGCAACCGAAATTCTCCTACCAGGAGAAAAGTTAACTCCCCTTCTGAAGGAAATACTTCACGAGGAGCGCGCTGTGTCTCTGAACCAGGCCAAATCTGTACTGGAGTTCATGCTTTGGGGACCTTTGGACGTCGTTCAGGGTGTCCCAGTTGAAGACAGGGAACTGTCTCTGCAAAGATGGCTCGACCTTGAACGAGCCACCGTCCTCCATGGTCTCGTAAGAACCAGAGTCCAACTTAACGTCTTCGAACAACTTCATCTCATGTTCTTAGTTCGTTCTACGGCTAAAGCCATGTGTGATGCATCCGTGCTCCTCGAAAAAGCCAATGTCTATTAATTATTTGTACATTATTAAGTTTTATTTTAAACGATGACCTCTACGTGCTTGAATTTGATCGGTTGACTTGTATTTAAAAGGTTTTTCTGTAAGAAAAGTTTTATAATTATTTCCAAATTCATATTTTGGTATATTTTTGCTATCACAATGTGCGTTAAGAGGCATCTTTCTTTAAATATTTCTTAGCTTAGTTGGGCACCTGAAGACTTGATATTTTATTATAGATTTGTATTATTCTGTGGGAGTGGGACATGATTGGAAAACTTTATAAGTTTAATCTTATGTTAATATATAAATCAGTAAAACATGGAATGTTTGAGATTTTAGGTTAATTCGAATTTAAATAAAGAACGTTACTGCCATTTAATGGGACCAAACCGTTAAGAATCAGTGTAGCCAGAAATAAAAATCTTCAACTCAAATTGAAAATTGAGAATCATTGTACACGGCGGCCAGTCACGCTGAAGTTGCCAATTAAAATTGTTTTTTTTTTCTAAATTAAATTGTTTAAAAATAGGAGCATTTATTATTATCCAATCAGTGTCTTAAAAGGTGCCAATATAAATAGAACTGAAGATGTATACTCATACTAATTCCGGTGCCTTAAAAATGTATTATACGTAAGTGCTGTATTATATCGAATGTAATTTATACTTTATGTTATGAACTCCATTTAGAATATCGAGTTCAAATTTATTAATTTACCCTTTGTAAGAATTCATCGAATATAAAAATACATATTTCTTACTGTATATTTTGTTGTTTTACTGTATTCCTTTAAACTTTAAGAGTTATTGGGATACTCTTGCACACCTATAACAAGAGATATTTTTAACAACCTTTCAAGCTATAAACACAGAGGCTTCTTGCAAAGCTTAAAAGCCGCCGAAAGCCAATTTCAGGTAATGACCTAGGTCGAAGTCTGATATTGATTTGATATGATATTCTGATACCGAAGGTCTCGCCTAAACATACATCTCAATGCGAATACCTACAACACAAAAAAACTATGTGTGGACGACTATGAGACTCAACATACCTACATCATGGTGGACCGGAGGTTAGGAAGGTCGCTTCTTATGTATGAGCACTCTTTTACATGGGTTGGAAACTTGGCAAGTATGAATGTGACCGTTTCAGAATTATATGTACTTTCTTTGATTACTTAGACACCACTGACATACGGTGAAGGAAAACATCGCGAGGAAACATGGCCTTATATATTTCGACTTATAAGTTTAAATTCGTCAATCTGCCTTGAGCAAGCGTGGTAATTGTAATTCAAAGCCAAAATCAATCTCGTCCTAACAGCGACACATCGGCAGTAGTGGGCTCCATGTGCTGTGGTATGGTGATTCTTTTAGTACACACCCTCGGAACTGGTACCTGGTCAGGCGGCGAGATACCCTTACTCACTGCTGACCCTCAGTTATAAAAATCAGTTTCTTGGAACTAATAAGCTCTTGGTAAAAGTGTTTAAATTTTTAAATAAGTGAAAAGCGTTGTGACATAATTAATGCAAATTTGTCGTCAACGATTATCTATGTAGCTATTTCCACAATTGGATAGGAATTAAAACAGGCTGACACAATAGCACGTGACGGTAATATAGTTTTATTCGTTTCATTGAAACAGTTAGTTGATTTGCCAATTTGTTGGGTGTTAAGTTCAACCATGTTTAAGCGTAAAAGAATCGGGATTAATAAAAAAATCGTTAAACAATTTCTAATACTTTTATTGTCTCAGCATTGCAACACATATTCTATCGCTACTAACTAAAACTACAAAATAATAACTATTCTTATAATATCAATACAGGTTTATTTAATTAAAAATAACAGAACAATAAATGGCACTTAAATTAATACAAAAATCATAAAAAAAATGCCATAAATAAATAGATATGCAAAATAGCAAGACATGGTTTATTCTCAAAAAATATCCAAAAAAATTGCTATATTAAGTTTTTTATTATAAGTATGAACTACAAGTTAGATAAAAGTTATCTGAGGAATAATTATAATGCTGTCGCGTCAAAATGTTTGTATAAGACAGTGACAGCAACATTTTTATTGATTTAGTCAAATAACATTTATCTGTCTATTGAAAAATGAGCCCTTAGTGTTGTACAGAGAAATATTCCGAGAAATATCAAATTGTAACTCCTCTCGCATTACCCAAGTTTCAAATCCAAGAAACCACTAGACATTTATTACTCATTGTATCAAATAGTATGCAAAAATCATAAATATTAAGTACACAAACAAGCTCAGAATATTCAAGTACAACTTCAGTATTGCCAGTAGCCAAAAATCCCGCGTAAAAGTTGCTAGACTAGAAAATAATCGTACAAAAATAAAATTGTCTTATTTATCCAAAAAATACGGCAAAATATAAATAAATTTAATAAAAAGCGAGCAAATCCGGAATGTATATAGCACGCATAGAAAAAAATAATATACAAACTTCTAGAACATTCCACTAGAAACAGATCTAACATTTCGAAATAGAGAAGCTTAGAAAAATAAATCAAATAAAAATAATAGGAATAATTGTTAAAAGCAATCGATTTTAAACTTTAAAATAATGTGCATAACGTACAACAATACAATTCAGTAACCTTATTATCAGTGTATTAATGTTTTTTAATAATTATATTAATTACAATATCCTAACCCTGAGAAAGAATGTTCACTTGCTTTCATATTTTGTTTGTCGGTGATACCCGATTCATTTCGAGCCCGAACAGGGCCCTCAAAACGTCATGAGCCGAATAAATACTATCCAAAGTCACGCTTACATGTATTGTTGTAAGTTATTAAAACAAAATAAAAATAGAATGCTAACAAAAATGTTTAAAATCCTCCAACAAATATATACTTTTTGGAGAATTGACTAAGAGATAAATAATACATAAACAATACTTTCCTGATTATAACGATTCACATAGTGCCATCGACCAGCGACCTCCTTATATTGACTATTATTTCATTAAGTATATGAAATGGTCAAGGGTTTTTTCTATGGGATACTTCGGTAAACGAGCAGATGGATAACAAGGTGGAAAGCATGCGGCATTGCTCACTATACCAGAGGAGTTACGCATGGAAGGAATTGATTGTTGGGGGTTGAGGGTTGGGGATTTGGGGTTGGTGTTTGGGGATTGAGGATTTTTAATAGGGATTGGGATTGGGGATGGTAGTGTGGTTGGTGACATGGACTGTGAATTGGGTATTGGTGACAGGGACTGTGAATTGGGTATTGGTGATTGGGATTGGGGATTTGGGATGTGGATTTGGGATTGGAGGAGGGGGGAATGTGGAGGGTTAGCAAACGTTCTCCAGTGAGCCCACTCACAGGGCGAAAGACAACGCTAGCATTGTTTCACGCCGGGTTTCTGTAAGGCCGTTGTAATACTCCGGTTAAGCCGACCCGTTCGTGTCGAAGCAAAGCTCTTCAGCATTAAGCATTTAATTTTTCAAAGCATTAAAATAAGCTATTGTAATTGACCATTCACAATCCCAAGTCATTTTCTCCTGTCGTTGTAAACAGAACCTTATACATCTTACTATACAGTTGAAAACTACTCTTGACCATTTCATACCTCGCTGGCCAAAAACCTTATAAGTAAAATTTGCATCTTGTCTAGACTATATTTTAAACCTTACGACTAATAAGTTTAGAGTCCCTTATTGAAGTACACGTATTCTGGCGGCTTTCCGTCCGTGTTCTTGAGTATTTGTTCGTAGTTGTCCTTCTCGAATCGTTTGATTGTGTCTATTGACAGTTTACTGGCGAAAAGAAAAAAAAATATTTTTACTTTTTAAAGCCAAAATGATTTTATTACTGGAATCTTCTATTCTTTGGTGCTAGAAGAAGCCATTAAGCTGTTTTTCTATACTAATATTATAAAGAAGTAAAATTTGTAAGTTTTGTAAGTTTGTATGTAGGGGTTACCCCCTACATACATGCAAGCGAAATTTCGCTCAGAGACTAAAATTGTTCCTAAACCAGTGTTTTCCAACCTTTTTCGTAGCACGCATGACCCCATTTATATGAAACAATATTTAGCAAGCAGGTTTACGAATTTTAATACAAATGTGTTTAATTTACAAAATATTTTTTCTATGTAAATCATATATCGTCGAATTATCATTATCATAAATTAATATTCATTTATTATAATCATTAATAATAAATTACGTATTTACGTAATGACGTACATAAGTTTTTTTTACATCCTGCCTAAGATACAAGATCGAAAGATACAAGATAGAAGAGATCTAATAAGTTTTTTTTATTTTTGTTTATTTGATTGATAATTATGATCACTTATGTTCTTTAGTAATTCATATATTTTCATAAAACCTTGTTTTTTGTACTCAAATGGCTTTCCCAAGTTTCTGAGAAAACCTTTATTAGTGACTCTCAAAAAAGGAACAAAATAACCCCCATTCCTCAAAGAGGTCGGCACCACACGTCGCAAACCACGAGACGACCTTAGAATGGGACCTACTAGATTAAGAAAAAACTTATACATTTTTATTTTTTTAATTCATTAAGCCCCAATGTTCGCGCACCTATTATTTTGCTATTTTGTCTCGAATTACCACGATGGATAGGTTAAAGTCGGTAAATATAAAAACATGCACTTACCATCTTTGAGGGAAGATCGCACAGGCCGTCGGCACCATGAATGTTAGGCTGAAAATATGAGAAAATAATCATTGTATTTTATTTAGTTATACAAACACATAAATATGTATACAACGGGATTTTTTGCACATTATTTAATAATCGGTATATTATAAGTAATATTATATTTAACATACGTAACCCTCCCAAAGAATTCTCTTTAAAATAATGAAGTAATTGACATTTTAAATAGAGTACAGTATGGCCGACGTATCTTGGCGAGTCTGAAGTTAACCGTTTGTCTGCGCAAAGGATCGTTTATGAACAAAATTGTGTACTGTATTGTAACTTTTTGGACTGTGAAATACACGACATTTTGTTGAGTTTGTAGGAACAGCGATGAGCAGGTTTTTAAGCAGATTGGTAGGTTTTGTGTCAATTCAAACTTTATTATTTTGATATAAAGTTTAAAATCGTCAAATTGTTGCAGACTTTCTGATCAGTCACACACAATAAAATACTTTAGCAATTTCATTGTAGGCATGAAAATCTAACTTTAACCAATTTGTTATGAAGATAATACGTTTATTCTGAAATAAACGTAGATTTATTTAGTAAAATTACGTGGACGATAAAATTGTATGAAATAATTATATTAATTGGACTTTTTTTATTAGATTCTTACATTAATCGAATTTATTAATATTGTATAATTATGATAATAACGAATTGGGTAGTTTCCTAGGTCAAAACTAAATTAATTCGATGTTTCGATACTATAAAATATTGAAAAATAACTACACTTTTATTCATCGATCGATCGATACATGAAGATTTACATTTTTTTAGCTAATTATTGTGAAATAAGTAAGCTATTTGACGCAAAAATAAATTAATTCGATGTTTCGATACTATAAAATATTGAAAAATAACTACACTTTTATTCATCGATCGATCGATACATGAAGATTTACATTTTTTTAGCTAATTATTGTGAAATAAGTAAGCTATTTGACGCAAAAATGTTATGACGTCATAGCTCAGTTTTTCATACAAATTTCATAGAAAAGTATCGTTTTTGACGTTTGGATAAAAGTATTGAATTTGACTAGTTGGAAACTACCGTATTAATTGCATGACATAGATAATTTAATGACATAATCATATAATTTGCACGCTTGCTTGCAGGCTGAATGCAGTGACTTTTGGGATATAAGACCTTTTCTTATTAAACAATGTAATTCTTGCAAATAAACACTTTTGAATTGTAATTTGAATGTGATATTAATTTGAAATTGTAAATACTCACAACATGCCGACGATGGCGGTCTGTATGCCAATATGTGCCCAGCGTATCCTCTGCATCCAAGGCTTGGGCTCCAGTCGCTCCATAATCACTGGCAGTAATAACATTCCCGGAGCACACATCGCGATTCTAAACAATTAATTGTAAACTTTGGTACAAAGGAATAAAGTTTATATTAATACATAAAGTTTATATTAATACGAACACGCCTGTGTATGCATGTTATTTAGATCTCTCCAAGGCATTTGACCTTGTAAATTATGATGTTTTATGGAGCAAACTTCAGAATGTTGAGGGACTCCCTGCTGAATTAATTTGGTTGCTTAAATATTGGTACAGTAATCAAGAGAATACTGTTCGATGGGCAGGCACTTTATCTGAAGTGTACAGGTTGCAGTGTGGGGTGAGGCAGGGGGGGTTGAGCTCGCCATGCCTCTTCAACCTGTACATTGATGGTCTGATTGGGGAGCTCAGCGGCGCCGGTCTCGGATGCTCAATAGACGGAACTTGCATAAATAACATAAGTTACTCTGACGATATGGTGCTGTTGAGTCCCTCAGTCAGAGCTTTAAGGTGTCTTTTGAACATTTGTGAGGCGTATTCGGAGGCTCATGGACTGAGATATAACGCCAAAAAAAGTGAATTTATGATATTTAAGGCGGGAAAAAAACAATATCGTGCGCCCGTGATCACTCTTTGCGGCACACCACTTAAACAGGTGAGTAAGTTTAAATATCTTGGTCACTGGGTCACCGACGACTCGTCGGATGTTATGGACATCGAGAGGGAACGAAGGGCGCTGTCTGTGCGGTGTAATATGCTCGCTCGTAGGTTCGCACGTTGTACAAGAGACGTAAAAATTACTTTATTCAAGTCATACTGCCAGACACTGTACACGTGCGGGCTATGGGTGAATTATACGCATCGCGCGTACAGCGCCCTTCGCGTCCAGTATAACAACGCCTTCAGGGGAATGGTGGGGCTGCCGCGGTGGTGCAGCGCATCTGCCATGTTCGCGGAAGCGCGCACACAGGATTTTTTCGCTGTGATGCGCACGCGCTGCGCCTCATTGCTGAGTCGAATGCGGATCAGCTCTAACGTTCTCCTGAAGACCTTGTCTGAACGGTGGGACACACCAATGCTGCAGGCGTGGATGGGGTTGCACTCTCTTTGCAACAGGAGATGAGTGGCTCCCCTTTCATGCCGATTACTTTAGTTTAGTTTAATTTTCTTTTCTTTTGTTACGTACTAACATTATTTTTTAAGAATGTAAAGTTAATACTAACAAAATGGAACCTGATTTCCGAAATAAACGATTATTATTATAAAGGTTTGGTAGAAGCTTGTTCATACATTTTCAATTAAGATAGTTATAATAATAAATGGAGGCCAGAGGCCCAATCCTTCCCCTGCCCCAATCAGTCCTCAATCCCTACATCTCCAAATCCCTAATCCCTAAAAGGTCGGCAACGCACTCGTAAATCCTTCGTTGCGCATTGGCGGCGCTGATTGCTTACCATCAGGTAATCCGTCTGCTCGATTGCCGAACTATTACACAAAAATAACTATCCTCACCTTGAAGTGACCACTTGAGAAATTCCTTTCACCGGTGCTAATTGAGATTTGCCGATAACTTTACCATTTTCATCCGTTACATCCAAACCTGAAAATTAATATTACAATAATATCATTATAACGTAAGATTAATCAATCAAAATGTGATTCTTATTAAGTATTTTTATGGTTTTATAGGAAGAAGGAAGCCATTTCTTTTTGACTACAGAAACTAGCCAAAGTCGTGTGGCTAGTTTCTGTCGGCTGACACGATTGGCTGCTGGGCAATTGAATAAAATTGTATGTTTGTAAACGCATCTACGATACGGATCGTATGATTATTCAATTTTCGTCTTTATTTTAAATCTCCTTGATTTAAAATAAAGACGAAAATTGAATAATCATACGATCCTATTTGTAATTGTGACATACGATATACATATATTTTACTTTAATGATAGATTAGATAGACCATAATTTGTTCCTTTTTATATACAACTTGTCTCTGTATTGTTCTCACATAGGGGTACAATCATGTATAAAAAATGTATTATTGGTGAATTGTAAAACAAATATTTTTTAAAAAAAGAGTAATGATGGAGTTTCTTGCTCGTTCTTCTCCATTCGAAACTACAATTTGGAACGAGCACCTAGCTTCGCTGACGAACAGACTGACAGACTACTATTCTATTTTGACGTTTCAAAAGTACCTATTTATGGTTTAGTTGGAATAAATGATTTTAATTTGATTTGATTTGACGGTGAAGGTAAACATCGTGAGGAAACCGGGACTTATAATTCCTAATTATAAGTTTGAAATCGCCAACCCGCATTGAGCAAGCGAGCATAGCATCACAGAATACCGGCGTGAAACAACCCAGCGTTGTGTTTCGCCGTGTGAGTGAGGTTACCGGAGGCCCAATCCCTCCCCTTCTCCTATCCCTTCCCGTTCCTTTTATCCGCAACCCCTATCCCCAAAAGGCCGGCAACGCACTCGTAACTCATTTGGTGTTGCGGGTGTCCATGGGCGGCGCCGATTGCTTACCATCAGGTAATCCGTCTGCTCGTTTGCCGACATAAAAAAAAAATTGCTCAGCAGTGGGCACCTATAGGCTGATGATGATTTGTAATTGTAGCATTACAAGTACAGACTGAGTACATTTCTGGAGATGCACGTTATATATATATATTAAATATATATTACGTATAAGGTTCAAATTTAAATGGCAGATTTCGCTGACCAGTCTGGCAACTAATCTTAAGTTCTTAACATACAATTCTAGATTAAAGATTTGACTTTCGTTCGTGAAAAACTACGTTCATTGGTATTGTAATTTGAACCAAATTTACAATCAACTCAATCAATTCTAATTTAACAAAATATTGCAGAAATAAACAACAATATTTTCATTTACTAAATACAGTTGAAAGTGTAAACAATAATGCGTCATGAGCACGTGAGGATAAGATTTATTTTTGAACAGCCAACAACATTGAACGCACAAATACAACTCCACGAGGCGCATTTTATTTATATCTTGAATACTAGATGCACAATACGTCTGCAACTCCGTTGATTAAAAATAATTAATGTTTAATTGAAATAAGCTGTAAGTGTTATTTAGTTGTTTTTAGAAAATGAACTTTATAATCTACACTCAAAGTCTTATTTTGCATTGAAACCATTTTTTGCATAGGCATTGATTTTGAATGTCATTAGTTATTAAAAGAATAGGTACCTATTGTGATGTGATTTTCGATAATTAACTTTATTGACTACTTTTGAAGTCTGAGTTTTCTTTGGGGGTTGGTTTTATTACCTTTTTAATAGGAATTTTGTGAAACCAAAATTGTTTAAAAAAGACCAAACAAATTTAAATAGCCACTATGTACCAAACCCAGACCGCATTGACCAAGCGTTATGAATAATGTTCTAACCTTCTCCGTATGAGAAGAGGCCTTTGCTCAGCAGTGGAAACTTATAGGCTGATGATGATGACTGTGTACTAAACAAATTTTAATATGAACATTATAAGTATAATTGACAAATATGCCACATTGGATTATTTGTAATGAAACAGCCTTCAATATGTTAGTTGCCTAATATAATCCAGTCAAAAGGAATTATTATTATTCGTTATTTTTATTGTTTTAACTCAACAATCATTAATTAAATATTTAGATATATACAGAAATAGAAATAGGTGAATTTAATAAAGTGGTCTGTCACTCAATCAGTGTGACTGACAGAAAAAATACAGCTAAAACTAGTGATATATATGATATACTACAATAATGCAGAAAAACGATTGCGTACTGGTGCAAGTGCTGCTCTAAATGCTCCGCTGTGAATGTGTTAATATAAAGGGAACACTAAGTGGGGTACTTGAATAGTAATATTATACAGAAAAACATTAAGATCTTATAATACAGTCGGATTTTGTTCAGGGTCGACTGGACAGGAATGTAATCTGAACTCGAGATCCCGAGGAATTGAAGTCCAACGAGATAACATTCTAATTCAAAATAATTTATTTTAGACTAAGGTAACTACATAATTCGTAGTAATTAATCTAAAATCAACTTTAATAATCCAAACTAACATTATAAATACAAAAGTAACTCTGTCTTTTCCTCACGCCTAAACTACTAAACCAATTTCTGTGAAATTTGGTACAAACATAGTTTGGAACTCGAGAAAGGACATAGTTGTTTTTAAACCAAAAATCTGGAGGAAGTCATCGTATCGAATCGTCGTATTCCACGCGAACGGAGTCGCGGGCAAAAGCTAGTACTAAATAAAAAGTTCATAAACCAAGAAATGATACATACCTAGGAGGATTTCATTCTGTCTCATTAAGGGAATGTTCACCCAGTTGGCGGCCGCTACAGCCACGAAAGGTACGAACCGCTGAAACATGCATAATAAATTAATAATTTATAAAAATCCCTACAAACAACTGTAATATTTCTATTATAACATCTGTTTGCGGCTTACTCACGCAAACATAATAATTAATAACTGTAATCATTTAAAGACTCCCCATAATTTCATCCTCACAAAAAATGCCCCAAAACTACGAGATTTTACGAAACCTCCTCCTTAATGGGAGACTTTTATTTAAATACTTAATGAATTGTACCTATACTTGGGAAGTAGATTGTCAAAATCGATTTTCCAAAATTATCTTCAGCCGGGGCTGCAGGTACATGCCCAATAATATACCGCGACCCTGGCACGGAGCAGGTAATTAATAGGAGGTTGAATATGTTTTGTTTATCTTTCTCTTGTGTTTCTTTTTCCCATTGTAACGCTAGATGGCGGCACTGTGTGTGCATTCTGAATATGGCGACTGTCATGATGTTGTAAAATGTTCTTATAACTTTTAATAAATAAAACGTTTAAGTTTATACAGAAATCTTGTTTATTAACCTGATCCAAACAGCCCAGGGCAACCGAAGTAATTTGATGATTTTGTCTTTGAAGAAAAAGATACGAAAAATAAAAACATTTAATTTCCCTTCAAAATAAAAAGATTATCCAAAAATTATTTTTAACCTAGGTTCTTAGAATCGGTGATACAATATATAGCGCAACAGAAGCGCGTAAAATTCGGCCGAAAATTCCGATTCTGTCATATTATAACGAACATGAGCATGATAGATCACTTAACCTTGAATGCGCCGGCGCAGCCGTGCGGTTCATATAAAAGTTATTGACTTGACATTGTTATTTTCTCTTGATAATAACATTATTATACCCACCCATTTTTAGCGAATAGACAGACATGCATACATACATACATATGTATGTATGCATGTCTGTCTATTCGCTAAAAATGGGTGCATTCACGTTCGACGTCTTCCCAAAGCGAATAGACAGACATGCATACATACATATGTATGTATGTATGCATGTCTGTCTATTCGCTAAAAATGGGTGGGTATAATAATGGGTGGGTATAGACAGACATGCATACATACATACATATGTATGTATGCATGTCTGTCTATTCGCTAAAAATGGGTGGGTAACGTTTGGTGTTTTGTGAGAGAAAATGTTGAAAAACGGGTAGTGACGATACTGAGGAGGGAATAATAAATAGGGGATAGAAAGTTACTAAGGGCACTCCTTAGTAACTTTCAAAAAACAACAAACAAAATTTCCACGGAAAATTAAATAATAAATATATTTACGTTTGAAAATCAAGTAAGGCGGATAGTGGCTATTTGAAAAAAATCTGGTCTAAGTCTAAATTTCACTTTTCGCTTCCTCTAAAATTTCTACGTTCATCAATTTACTGGGTGAAGCGAGTGTTAGGGACTCTTACTGACTAAAAACTACCTCGATCTTTATCCTGCACCACCCGCAACCCCGACTGAACATCAGCATCATCTATTAGGCTCCATCCTAATGGAGTGAGAGTGGCCTAATGGCTCATTGAGGCGCGGAAGCATTCCATTTTCAAATCTTGCCACTATACCTCTTTTTGAAATCCACGATGTTATCTGATCACGCTATTTCATATCATCTGTCATACTTCATAAGACTCATAATCCTTTGGTATTTGGTTTACTTTGAAGCTTCTTCTGCCAGGCCTTGATGAGTAGTGAGGATACATACGTCCTAACATTCCGTAACCGAGAAATAATAATAATAATAAACACTTACACGTATGTTTGTTGTGTACAAAATACGGGCGTAACATTATATTGTGATAATCTCGCTGATAAAGGCACCTATAATACACGTTGATAGGAATGTAATGTTAGATGTATTAGTACATTATCAATGGCAATAATGTCTTCTAAGCCGCTATAAAGATTACTATCAAATGGGAGATATCAATATCATGTCACGGTTTAACAACAGTATAACCAAATTTCAGAATATAAAGGCCCCCCTTTATATTCTGAAATTTGGTTATACTGTTTGACATTCTCTCAGAGAAGTAATATCATCAAATTAAATGAATGTCAAAGTTTGACTGGCCAAAAAACTAGACCATATTATATGTCCAAAATATAAATTCCTATTAAAAAGAACGAGTAGGATCTCCATAATGAATTATCCACGTCCATGAGGATGAAGGATTATGAGCCTTATGAATTATGACAGATGGTGTGAAATAGCCTGATCAGAGAACAACGCGGATTTAAAAAATAGGTAGTGACAAGATTTGAAAATTTTTTAAATGTTTTGGCATTTAAAAAATCAACTCACAGCTAAAATGGGATTCTTGGCGCGTTTCTGCACGCTGAACTTGAAGATCAGCGCAGTTGTCATGGCGGCCGACGTGGCGGACACGTAAGCGACTCCCATCTGCGTAGTCGTGAGGGGGGAGTTCGCATTCCGGTTTGTGTAATTCACTAATGCATTGAACGACTGGTTCACCCACTGCCAGAAGACTACTGCTACTGGTGTTCTGTGGATAAAGGTAATGTTTAATATATACATTGTTTTCAATCATTTTCTTATTTTTTTTTAAGGAAATCAAAATCTATTGAGAAGGACGTAGACTAGAAAGAGCGGAAAACTACTTTTGTTTTATACTATGTAGTGAAGTGAAGTAGATGTACTACTTTGGTAAACGATCAGCGTCACCCACGAAACACCAGAGCAATTTACAGAGAAGATCTTTTGGGGGAGACAGAATTGAACCCCTGGTTACCATATAGGTACACGTCGCGACACGCATTCTGTGACGACATCGAAGGCCTTACTACGTAAATAGATGATATCTAACTAAAATATTTGAATTTGGAAATCCATTTGGAACGATAAACCATTAAGGAGCACATTAAAGAAACCCTGTCTTTCCTTACATTGCGCTTAATGAATAAAGGCCCAATGAAAATGAAACCGGAGGCCCAATCCTTCCCCTTCCCCAATCCTTCCTAAATCCCTAAATCTCCAAATCCCTAATCCCTAAAAGGTCGGCAAGGCACTCGTAACTCCTCCGTTGCGGGTGTCCATGGGCGGCGCTGATTGCTTACCATCAGGTAATCCGTCTGCTCGTTTGCCGACCTATTAAATAAAAAAAAAGCAAAAAATAATTACTTGGTTTAAATTGGTCCTTGGATACTCTACGCCCAATTTGTTAAAGACCAATTTTCAACTTTATTTCTAAAGACCTTTAGTCCAATTCATATTGATCATTTCGCAAACATAACCCAGTTATTACAATTTTGACCTATATTGGCTAGATGCCACTGACTGAAACAGCATTTTATTCGCATTTCACACACAAGTCCTCTAAATTAACGGTTGTATGTTAATAAACATGTTTTGCATGCAAACTATAATTAGATTTATTGCTGAACTCATTTCATTTGTGACCAAATAGCAATTGGTTTGTTACCCTAAAACAAAACAATAAAGCTGGGTCTTTTAACATTGACAAGACATTTATGCGTGTTCCTTTTATAATGGGCTTGAAACAAGTTCACAAAAAAATCTTTGCCATAATGTATTATGTATAAACTTATATAAAAAAGTCTTCTCCTCTCTTTTGTCCAAATTCGGTCATAAAACTGAGTGGGGTATGGTGTACAAGAAAAAATTCCTATTCAGTAAACATTCATTTTCTATTAAATAGCGGATTCCGGAATTGTTGTTTAACCGATTTTGAATGCACAAAACTAAAGGAGTCATAAGTGCGTTCCACCTTTGTGCACTTTGGTGACCTTATCCCGAGGTGAATCGACACAGCAATTGGGACCAGTTATCACTAGGGACCAGTGCACCCATTCATTCTGAATCCTTGGTCTTTCCCAAATTCGTCTCTAAATTAGCTAACAACATTATACTACATACCTATACCATTGTAACATGGCTCCAGTAATGAGACAACCTCCAGGCATTTGGAAAGACATCCTGCCGAACACATTCTGCAGCTCACCACTGTCAGGGTGGAACGCTGATTCATATAACTGCTTCGCTCTAACCAGCTGCTCATATTTTGTTCCAGCTGGTTCTTTACCTGATCTATAGAGAGAAAAAAAAAAAGTTAGTACCTTACCTTAGTAAAATAATGTTGTGAACATATTATTAAATAAATAGCCGGAATCGTCAATGTGAAGACCACCATGAGGACACGGTGGAGAAATCGGTGCACCCTGCTTGGTCTGAGCACCGACGTGAATAGCCCCCATAAGCGCGGGTCTGCAGACGGCGAGCAAGGATAGCCCGCCGCCCGACCAGAACCAGACCCGAACGTAGGGCGCGGCGTTCCGCGCGCGCCAGTAGACAATAGACCACCACAGATAGGGCTGATGTTCAGCCAGGGTTGCGGGGTAAGCGCAATGTGCCACAACGGACTAAAGCAGAAGAAGGAACGGGGGGTTTTAGTTAGTAAGAGTCTGACACTCTCTCGCCTTACCCTAGGTAGGAGTAATCATTTGATGACTTGCCCCTGACAAAAAAAAACTCCTTTTGATGCCTAGATTTTTTGGAACTGCTTTCTAGACACATGCCTCTAGTATTCGTATTTGGTGGTCCATTAAACCTCTTTAGGCTTAAAACCTTGTTTAACGCCTACATAAAGGTGATTTTGGCACGAAATATTAAAAAGAAAATAAATAAAACAAATACGATACTTACTTGTACTTCAAATATAGATCCTTTGCTTGGTGCAGTTCTTCTTCAGAAGCTAAGGAGAGCAATGGATTGGAAATGAAGGCGAAATGCCTGAATCTTCCCAGGAAGGTGCTCTGGTCCCATAAAGGCTGGGTGATATCTATCCTCTCCATAGTCATGATCTGATGGAAGAAGAGATGAAGTTAAATACCTAATATTCTATCTATATATAATGTTACAACTCAACAATACTTTTATAGATTTGGCTAATTTTGGTCTTCTAATATTCCTTGAAGTGCAGGGCGGAGCCGCGGGCGACCGCTAGTTATAAATAGATATATAGTAATGTTAAAAGGGGAAGAAGAGTTGATATTTTTGCCATTTTTGCGTGAAAGAATAACAAACATACATCCATATAGTCTAATAAACTTTCACATTTATAATATAAGTAGCAAAGTAGGATGTAACAGGATTCCTTTTGCTTATTATCATAACAATTTAAACATAAAACCCGATACTGTGACTGAGAACTCCAACTACTTTTTTAACCTGTGTGTGTCCACAGAGTATATAGAGTTCGGTGTTTTCCAACTATTCAATATTTTTATTCAAATGTCAAAAACAATACATTTTTTATGAATTTTATATGAGATCCCAACATATGATGTCATCATGATTTTATGTCAAACAGCATATTTATTTTCAAGAATATAACTGAAGTATATTGTCAAATCAGTGAAAGTTATATATAATAATATAATTTAAAATTACCCATATTAAAAAGTAAAACCCATTTATTTTTGACCTAGGAAACTACCCAATTGGTTATATAAAACATCTTTAATGTATAGCTAAATGAAAATGATAGACATGATAGATATTTATAAGCAATCATTATTTCCAATAGACTGCATTACAATTCATTTATAATAGACCACTTTAATAAAAGGAATAGAGCAAGATAAATAACAATTGAGGAAGTAGTAAATAGTAAGTAGCAATTTTATATCAATTTTACTAAATATTGAATGAATATAGCCTGTACCCTCAAAGTAAAAAGTTACTTATTTTATAAACACAAAGTTTGTAAGTATGGATGTATGTTTGATGGCTTAGAGATAGATTTGACTCTAATCTATGACTTGCCTATAACAGCGGGGATTTTTTTAGTATAATAGTGTAATTCTAGACTCAAATCATTAGAGTCTAGAATTACACTGATATTAATATACTAACTGGCACTTATGCTACCAAAATACCACATACAATTTTTTATTTACTATAGATACAGGGTATAAAGTTTGACTGAAAGCAAATGACTTATATTGTCTTATAGAAAATATGCTATTTATTTTTTTTAGGATAATTCTATTAATATTTACTTACCTAAAGCCCAACTAACTAGCCAAAGAAAAGGTTTGAAATATTATTTGTGGAAAAAAGTAACATTTTCCTGGTAGGTTTACATTTTGTCACAATAAAGTCCATATCAAAAAGGTAGGCACAATATACTATTCAAAATTGTTACAGGAAGAAGAATAATGTCTAGAAACATTGCAAATTTTTATTTGAAGTCTCAAGGACTTTTTCTATACAAAATTAGTCTCATTACCAGCTGACTTTACTGTCATGTAATTAGTACTCTCCACGCTTATTTATTATCGTTAAAATATTTTAATAGTAGTCAGACAACTTGAGCCAACAAGTTATTATGTTTCAAGGCCTTGAATAAACGGTAGACAAACAGACAAGCACGGCAAAAACCGCCGTTTAGCAAATCAATAAACAAAAAGGAGAATAATTTCGAATAGATTATGTAAGTCAGCGTTTAAAAATTAAATTTCTAATAAATATAGATAAAATGTAAGTTAAAATACCCATTTTTTTACTTACTCTAGTATTTATTAATTTTCTGAAGAGTCAAAAATAATTATAATTGCAATTCTTGATACAAAAAGATAAAAAATACGTGCGCGTTTCGCTAACTCAGGAAAACAACCTGCCGCGATCACACATCGGCAAATGGCTGGAAAAACGGGTCAAGTGTCAGTTTCAATATTGACATTTCTTGTCTGTCATTCTTCATGTCAGAATATAGTAGGTAAATGAGTGAAACGGATCGTAGTTCTAGTTCATCTTCATCATAAACATCATTGGGTGATTAGGTGGTCGGTGGCAGCGGGTCAAACACAATAATAGAGAATTAACAGGGTGTCCTTAGTAAGAGTCTGTCACTCCCTCTCGTTCCGCCTAAGGTACCTAAGAGAAATCATTCGATGATTTAAGATTTTCCCCCTCAAAGAATGAAAAGAAGTCCTCGTTAGGATAATGGTGTAGTAATGTATTATTAATGAATCAACTTTACTATGCTGCTAGTGGCTAATACACTGTTTTACTACTCTTTTTTTTTGTTTTCTAAAGTTTCAAAAAGTTCCAAAGTAAACGTAGTGGTTACATACTCTTTGAAAAGTTCAAGTATCATGAAAAAGGCACACTCACATTTCGATAGTTTTGTGCATTATGTTAGGTTTTCCATATAAAGTACTCCCTATGTTAGGTTGAATATAATCTTATTTTCCAACAAAAAAATAGATACTAATATCATAATAAATCATTACCACATGGGCACATAGTTCACATGGCTGTAGTTTTGCAGTTTTGCAGTTTTGCACAGTATGCTGGCTTGCCCTTATTGTACTCATTTAGATTTTTTACAATATTGCAAGGATTTATTATTAAATAAAGCTATCGAAGCTTTACAAAGAATCTAGAATCTACTGAGAAGTAAATACGAATATAATGTAAAATAGAAATATAGAAAGAACAAAACCACATTATTTTGTAACCATTTTTATGTAAGTCGTGAAGTTTCGTATCATTGTTTATGGATTAATATAATATGGCGGCTGTCGTAGCAACAGCCGATATGACGATTCAAAAGAATTCTCAGATTTTAGTAAATGTCGAAGAAGCTCTAGCTGATTTAATAGTTGTATCGTATTGTACTGAAGATAAAAAATTCCAAGGTGTGCTCCTGGACTCCAACAAAGGGTAGGTAACGAAAACATGACCGAGTGTGCCTTTATCGATTTATGGAAAATCTCCTGTATTTATCTCTAATTTCACTGTGTTTTTACAGTAATTTACCATATGGTGTCTATAGCCTCAATCCAGCATTCAGCAAACAGGTTGAATCCACAAATGAGAGCGATAAATTGCATTCCGTTAGCCAAAGGTTCACCTACCAAGATCCTCAATATGAAGGCGAAAACTCGCAAAAATCAAAGAAGCCTGCTACGAATCGTAAACAGCAACAAAAGATGACCGTAAGATTACGACCACGAAAGGTCCTATGTTCTAATTGCCAAGGGATTTGTAATGAGAATAATGAAAATGTAGACGTGTCTAAAAAACGAAAGATAGAATCTGATGACGATACATCACACTTCTCTGACTCATCAAGGACAGAAAAGAAATATTTGATGGGCAGCATGCTTATACCCAAGCTGTCTAGGCTGCAGCCTAGTGAAATCACAAGTGCAGTAAAGGGTGCAGCGAAAAGTTCCAGTAAGGCTAGTGACAAATCAATTAAAACTAAAAAATCTAACACAGAGACTGTAACACAAGAAATGGCGTTTGTCAGTGTTTCTGAAGATATGGAAGGTGACAAGGATGATGTGAAAGATGAAAATGACATCTCTTTTAGTTCTATGTTTTCTAGTGCAAAAACTCTAAAAATATGTTTTGGGGAAGGTGAAGGAACAGTAGTTAAGATACCACCACTTACAGGAGATTTTAATGAAGACTCTGGTGTGTCATGTGATATGGGAAAGCCAACGAAACCTGACTCAAAAGCTGCAAAAAAGGCTTTGAAGAAAGCCAAAAAGCAGGCAAAAAAGAGTAACTCTGTAGAAAGTCAAAGTGTGCAATCACCAAAACACATTGGTGCATTATCACCACATAACAATGCATCAAGTCCAACACTGGACCCTTTAGAAAAGAAACACAAACATAAAGTAAAGCATAAAAAGAAGTACAAGAATCAGAAGAAGCGTGATGAAAACACAAGTAAATGTGGAGAGAGTGAATCAGTGGACTATTTTAGTGATATTAAAGAGCATTGTATGAACCAGAAGCTTTCCATTAGCTTACGAAGACTAAGTAGTAATTCACATGAAAAGCTAAGTGAGAATGATCCTATAGAAAGTGGTTCAGAAGACTGGGACAATGAGGTTGTGCCAGATTTCCCTGCTAATGGTACGGAGGGTGTTGGTGGAAGGTTGTTACGGGTATCTGTTGGGGATATAGTCTGGGGAAAGGTGGTAGGATTTCCATGGTGGCCTGGCAAGGTTCTCAATGTGACACCATCATCTAGGGCACATGTGGCATGGTATGCTTCAACCACATCATCTCTAATGCCATGTGATAGCTTGAGTCCATTCTTAGAAGATTTTAAGGTGAGTTCTTATCATTGCTTTCTTTATGTTTGTGCCTCCCATCATTATGTTGATTTAATAACCTAACATACACTACAGACATTAATAAGATGCATGCTCTTTATGAGTCATTCTGTGATTGGCAGAATATCAAATATTTTACTGAAAAACTTTATTTTAAGCTTACAGATATTAATTTCACAGCAAAGAAAGTATTTTTAAATATTAAAACCTATGCTCCTATTACCTACATACTTAATAAGAATAGTATCCAATCATCCTTACTCAAAATATAGAATTTCTCAACTATTTATTGTTTGTAAAGCTATTTACATTTTAGGAAAATACCAGCGTTTTTTAAATTAAACATTAGCTAAATTAAATTATGATGTAATCTTTAAAAAAAATTGAGTTTAGCCCATGAAACAATATCATTGTCATTGTTCCTCTTTATCTCTCTTATCTGATATACAATAAATTATCATCACAAAATAATAGGTATGAATCTCCCATTATCATCTTTAGTTGCTTAGTAAAGAAAGCAGAAATATTTAATTACTTTATCCCAAATTCTACCAGTATAGGACTAGAAACAAGAAAACAACTTGCATCTCACATCACCTCACTTATTAAAAAAGTAAAAAAAAAATGATGTTGTTTGAGGAAAATAGATTCTTTTAATTTTACTCTGTTAATGATGCATACTATTGCATACACACATAAAGTAACTCAACAATATATTTATTTACAAGAAGTTTTTAATCATGAATTTAAAATATTTAGTTCCTATTTGTTTTTCCAATAGGTTTTTCCTCATCAACATGTTTACTCATGCTCGAAAATAATGTGTTTTTGAACATTGAACACAGGACATCGGCATTTCTGAATAATACTTTCAAAAATTTTGTAAAAAGTTAAGAACATTAATTTCAAATGTCAGTCAGAAGATTAATAAGTATTAATTTATGTGATAAGGTGATATGTTCTTAAGTGGCTTTACTTGAATGCTTAGGTATACATGTTTTTTTATATCACATAACTTATGAAGTTCACATGTAAAAGTAGTAAGAATCTACTATTTCTACATTCCAGTTACGATTTTTGAAGAAAAAACGGGGACCATACAAAGAGGCTGTAATACAAGCAACACTTGAAGCCAAGAGGAATGAATCTCACGTAACCGATCCACTAGCAAGCCCAACGCACACATTGGCTACAGTATCACCTAGACCCATTGATGTGTTCTCTTAGACTAAGGTGCATCCGAATTTATTCAAAGTCATGTGATATTTAATACATAAATACTTACTTGATTTATCAGCACAAATAATGTTTCTTTATGTGATTTTGTTGTTACACTGCAAATGAAGGTTGAAATATTTTAATTAGAGTAACCTATCTGTTTTTCTACATTTTTCATTATCTATCCCACCAAACAAACTTTTTAATCAACAATTTTCAGTATAATTCCGTTTTTAGTATTAGTATTTAAACAAATAATTATTTGTTTCAGTTAAATTTCAGTGTAACAACTACATATTTAGTTTAAAAAAAATGTTGGTAATCAGAATAATGCCACTTTGCAAGTAATATTCCATTTGTGATGTAAACTGCCACTTAGAAAGACCTATGTTAATTAAGGAGCATGCAGTCCTATACCAACCTGACTCAATGGACTGCAAAATACACATTCTATAGTTAGCTTTTCTATATAAGCAGTAAATTAATTAATTATATAAATAATTTCCTGTATAGGTATATCAAAATGTTCTTATGCATAACCAGTTGTTTATATTGAACATAAGAATTTGATTCATAAGTGTTTGTTTACAATACTTGAATCAAAATTGAGATTCATTTAAGCTTCAACGAAAGATTGATGACTGTATTCCAATGGTTAATAAATATTGCATACTCATATACATATATTTTTATGATAATCTCGCGTAATTTAAGATTATTAAAAGCAAAGGGATATTATAATTAATACAAATTAGGCATGGTGGTCTGTTAAAAATAAGGTTTTAAGGTTCAATGTAGTAGGTTGTGCACAACACCTTTAAGTAGATGTATGCAAATATAACAACTTTTGGCAGGAAACTACCTATATTTAATGTGAATAAAAAAGACCTATAAAAAACCAATTTCACGATTGGTTTGTAATACATAATTACTTATATAACTTTTAACATTTTATATATTCACTGAGTGTTCAATAATTAAATAGACCAAATGATATACAACAATTCATGACTATTAGAATAGTGTGTAATATATTCAATTAATATTATAAAAATTATATGTCGTAACAGTTATCATTGAATATGTTTCTTGAAACATGTACCTACAGTCACCTTACTGGAGCTGTGTGTAAAAGCAACAGGAAATAACAAAAATCTGTGCCATTAAGATTTCTTACATTGTCCAAGATTTGCAAGAGGTATACAAAATAAGGCTTTATTCAACCACAGACTAAAGTCTATCGAATTTTTCGATTTATCGCTTTTTTGTTGTTTCCTATGAACATTGTTGTTATAAATATTCAGTACTTACCTACAACAGTTTATAATTGATATAATACTTGTAATTAACTGTGTGTTTATACAAACTTATGGCCATTCCTTTTATTTTCTGAACTCTTGGTTTTGGATTTATAGCTATTTTCCATACATACTTTTATGTTACTATTTGACTTCATAAACTTGTAATATTTTGTAAATATTCAATTTTATATTTCGATTTTAAAACCAAGAGAAAGATATTGTTATTTACTTTTTAAGTAATTTACCTAGTTCAGTTTAAAAGATTTTATGTGTTTGTTTTAATTGGTTGCTAAATAATTATGATAATGTATGTAAAAAAATAACCGTAGGACATTAAGAGATTGTGATGTAGGATCTATACATTTTCTTTTATTGGTGATAAATACTACTAAAATTGTTTTTTTAAGTCAGGGTGCTTACACTGTAAGTGTTGTGGGTACTGGTAGGTCAGTTAAATACAGGCCTACAACTGCAATGCTACAAGACGCAAATTCTAAGCCTGTATCTTTACTGCATAGTTATATAAGCACTCTACACCATATGCATAAAGTATATTGGTTTTCAGGCTGTTTTAACCTTTTGTTAATGATTATATTGTGTCTTCAAGCTTTTTCAGGGCGAGGTAGTTGGAAACACTTGCAAGGGAAAGGAATTCTGCCAAAGATTATTGATCTTTGCCCAACTTGTGGTGATTTAAGCTATATGTTCATAATTATATTATTATTATTGTGTACATAATATTCAGAATAAATCCGTATTTTATTAGTGTAGTTTGCTACAGTGTATCATCTTATCATTACAGGAAATGTATTTTAAAATATAAACTCTTCACTAATTATGTGTTATATTTTACATTATATGCCTTTCCTAAACTACATGAAAACATGATGTGACGTTCAGTATTCTAATTCCGAAGCAATAAATCATATTATAATTATATTTATAATTCCATGCAGTAGTAGACAGTATTTTAAAGTATGTTTGGACTGCGTCGTTCGAACGGCCGTACCCCCGTACGTACATGATTCAGCCGGGGTTGCGGGGTAAGCTAATTGAGACACCGCGACCTCGGCCTAGTGCAGGAGTAGGAACAGGGGGGTTTTTAGTCAGTAAGAGTCTGACACTCCCTCCCCCCCGACCCTAGGCGGGAGAAGTCATTTGATGATTTTCCCCTCACAATAAAAAAAGCGGGTACATGATTGAATTGAACTGTGAAGGTAGGGTTTTGGATTCCTACGTGTCGAGAAAAGTATTATTGCGCTTTTTTCTACAATACTGAGCATTAGTCAAGTTGTCGCCGCCTCTTCTTAAATAATTATGAATATTTTTTTTTATATTGGTGTTGGTGTTATTATAACAGAGCTAAATTTAATTTACACTAGCTATTCTTGCTCAATTTCACTCGCTGCTTAGCTGCTTTTATACATGGGTACCTACGTAAATTACTTATTTCAAACTTAAACTACACTACGTTAGTAGATAAATATAAATTTCAAATTATTTCGCTTGTAGCATAATATACAGTAATAACCTTGTGAATTCACCCAACGAACACGTAAACTCATCGATCTTTGTTTGTAAATCGTTAATGATACGGATAGCTCTGGTAATAGGTGCCCTGGCAAGTAAGTGGCGGGACGCGCCGCCGCTACACGTAACGGTCCGGCACATACAGACTCAAGCGCTGCAATACCCCCGGATTACTCTTAATTCCACGAAGCACCTTCACTAAGTAGGCAACTAACGTAAACTCCCGTCGGACATGCAACTAATTATAGCCAACCATGCCCAGTTTAAATAAGTACAGTTATGAGAATGACGGAAAATACATTCGATTTTTTCAGTGATTTTCATATATTTAATTTTTAGAAGAAGAAACTACCTGTACAGCCCTTAATTTGTGTAGGTACCGATTTTTATGAATATCCTGCAGTCTATTCTTTATTGTAACCATAGACAAATAAACACATCCTACTAGCACATCAAACAACTGTCAATTTTTGAAGTTGACATCGAGCGCTTTGTTTTTCAGTTTGTCGATTCGAAAGTTTGAATTTATCATATTTTGATTTCGCTTCACGCGGTATTTATGTTATTTATTAAAGTAGTTAATTAGTGTTTTGTAAATATGAGGAGAACTTATAGGTCTAAGAAAGACACTGGTAGTGTTTTAGACCGAAGAGATTTATTACAGAACTTAGACGAGAAGAGCTCAGCTTATGATGCCTTTTTCATTCAAAATATTAAACAAACTAAGCGGGAACTTTCTTGTATTGGGTCTTCTAATGCTTATGGAGTGGCTTCTAACCGTGTTCGTAAGAAGAAATTAGTAAAAAGGATAGTAAAAGAGCCACGAACTCCATGTCGGGAAAGTTTGTCTCGGTCGACGTATCTGACACCAGATAAATCCATACGTGTGAACAAACCTCTGGATCCCTTCGATATGTTGTTGAATTCATCTCCAGCTTGTTTAGCTGAAGCTCCTAAATGTAAGACTGAGTCGGTAACGACAAAGGTGGATCTCTTTGATCAAGTTGCGCGAAAAAAGTAAGTTTCTTTGCTGTAATTTAGTTACTGTGTTTTATAGAAATTCCCAGCATATATTGAGCTCATAATATACTTATTGATTTTTTTACTGAATATATTTGGTTCTTTCAGGGAAGGTAAAACTTATACCAGAAAAAGACCTGTAAAACCTAAAAAGGTTAATTATTCAAGTTCCGAGGATAGCGGTATGTTCGTTTTTTTTTTACAATAACAATAAATATTTATCATATGATTCAGCATTAATTGAAGCTTTAGTCGTCATCCCCAAATTCCCAATTTATATTTAACTAATATTTTCAGATTCTGATAAAGAAAACTCTGACGATAAAATAAATTTGACAAGAAACACTTCAGATATAAATGCTTACAAACTTATTATAGAACAAGAAGCAAATCCCACACCTAAAAGGTGCAATGATTCTATTAATAATATAGTTAATAACTTATCTCTACTAAATAAGTTAAAGAATAGCAATAGCTTTAATGAGTCTATGACAAAACCTCTAAATTTTTATAAGCATCGACTGACTAGAAACATAAAATCACCTATTTTGCAAAAATCACCGTTATGCAGTACTCCATTCAAAGTGAAATATAGAGGTGACTCTATCTTTAAATTCTCACCTATTTCTGTGTCTAATGATGACAATAGTCCAAAATATACAACTATAACAGAGGATAATGATAATTCAAATAATAGTATTATACTTATGCCTCATAGTAAAACTAAAAGTTTTAAAAGCCCCATAGAAAATGAAATAATCACTCAAGAAGACTCAGTTCCTGATAGTAATGTTAGTATTGATATTAATAATGAAATAGTTACTCCAGTAATTAAAACTAGCACAAATAATATAGTGGAAGATGTGTCAGATGAGAATAAAGGTATACATAAAGAGGAAAAGTCTAGATTGATTAGTGAAAATAAAACAATATCTAGTGTTGAGATTAGTTCTTTTCAAACTACTGAAGTTGAACCCTTTCTGGGCTTTTCCAATGACCCTAATATCAGCAAAGATATTAAAGAAAATATCTTAGATTTAGATAAAACAGAAGATAATGAGGATGTTACTGAAATTGAAGAAAGAGAGCAAAGTGAATTAGATGGTGATGATGTTAATGATTTAATAGATGATGATAATGGATCACAGGATTTGGATAACAATGACAGAGATTCTTTGTATGACACTTGTCCAAGTGATCAAAGTTCGATTGATGAAAATGTTATCAAAGAGCCTATTGTAAGGCTTCAGAGGATGAATGATTCTTCATTCTTTAGGTATTATGAAAATATGAAAATGTTTAACTCTGAAGCTGACAATACCAAAGAAAGTTTCAGAGTGGAAACTGATGATGAAGAAAATATTGTTGAGAATGATGCAAGTCAAGATGAGGTGCTTTCTCAAGAAGACGAATTTGTAAGTTTTGGTGATAGTAATAATTCACAGGAACAAATATCTGAATGTGGTTCAGTTGCTGAAGCTACTGAAAGTAATAAAGATTTCCAACATGAGGCTAATAACTTTATTGATATTGTTTCCTCTAATGATGAGGATGGCGAAGCAAATGAAGAAGAAAAATGCATTAGTTTTGTTACAACAAGAAGAAGAAATGAAATCACGAATAATTCAATGATTTCTATCTTTAATGATTCATATGCTTCCTCTAGCTCTGATTGTAATAAAACTGTTCTGAGTAATAATAGACTTACAGTTAATGAAATTAATAAAGAAACCAATGCCAATGATTCCTTATTGAAATTAAATGAAAGAGGTAATAATGAAGAAGTAAGAAAACATGTTGATGGTCACAATGAAACCCTCTCAGACAATTATGTGCTAGAGAAAAAGGAAGATGATGGGATATCATTTGTCACTACAAGGATGAGTACAGTTACTGATAGAAAAAGTGCATTAAGAAATCGAAAGAGTTCTATAAAGCCTAAAAGAAATACAGACAGAAAGACTTCTCATTTACCTAGAGAAAGTATGAAACACAGTCCAGATCATTCTAGAAAAACATATTTTGAGAAACCAGGGATAGTTCTTCAGCCTGGAAAGAAATGGGAGAGGTCTTTAAGCATTTATAGAAGAATTACTATGATGACTGATCATTTTGACCAATCTATTCTTGAAGATGAATGTATTGAGAAAAAGGGAAGGAGATACCGCCAAAGTGTGATCAGTACTATGGAAATGCAAGATTTAAACTGTAAGTATCTTTGTTTGTTACACTTTGTTCAATTAATTCAAACATAAAATTTCTTTTAGAAACCTAATTTTATTAAAATAAACAACCTCCATGGTGTATAAAAATAATGGCATTTACTACATAAAGAAAAATTAAAAAATGGAATAACATTGACACTTCCATCCAAAGTTTCAGTGTAATGTCAGGTTTGTGTTTTTTTTCTGCAAAGAAATTCAATAAAAGCAATTTATTAATTATCACAAAATTTATTTATTGCAGGTTCCCTACATAATGAATCAATTAATAGTCGCAGAAGTACATTTGTTTCTAAACCAAGTCGATCTGCAATTCGAATAGTGAAAGTAAGTATACTATGTTTATGTTAATGTACATATGAAATGTAACTGAAACTACAATTGAATAACGCGGTCTTTTCATTCCAGGACCCAGATAATTCAAGACTTAGTCTTTGTAACACTACAGTATTCGATGACCTGAAAGGTAAAATATTTATTTAAAAAACCGGTTTCAGAAAAACTTCGCTTATAAAAATAAAATCTGTGTAATAATATATTTTTTAAATAAACGAATTTCGTTTGATCTGACTTCTAAAATTCTACTGTCTTATGCTTATTCTAAACTGGTAACATAAATTATAGTAGCTTTTGTATAATACTTATGGTAACACCAATTTGCTGTAGCTGTTGGAAAATTGTAGTATCTGTGGTCGAGTCGTTCTGTTTGCACGCTTCGTGGAAGAAGACGCTCCGTGGTCTTTGTCCATAATAGTTTTTATTTTATTTTTATTTGTAACTGCGTGTTTCAAATTTCTTAAGTGAATTTATATTTTTAGTACTATTGCAAAGCAATAGTAGAATAAACATTTAACAAGTGACAATTTGTGATTGAACGCTATATTGTATCTGCCATCGCGTATCCGTAACGGGATAACAGCTTGGTTCTACGCCCTTTGTTCTATTAAAGTGTAAAATCAGCCAAGTGCATGCATCTTTCCCTGCAATACACAGGTTAGTTCAGAATCGAGGTGTTTTTGGAGAATAATTTTACATGCAGTGTGATATTGTTGCGTCAACGAGTCTATTACGTACGGGGGGAAAGTACGTTGAGGTACTACTTCCTACTTTGTGTCATGTACCGTGATTTGTGAATGACGCGTGCTCTTTTCCAGGTTTTTTGAACGAGGAGTGTGATGATACTATTATCGAATTATCCAAACTCTCGATTGCTGATCAGTCCCACGAGGTCACTGTTCTAGACAACTTCCATGATACTTCGAGCCGTATAACTACAGCAAGGGATTACGTGTTGCGTCGATGCAATCAAACGGACGCGATACTCTTTGATGAATGTTATCCAGACGCGTGAGTACCGACTTGCCTTTATCCGCTTTTGCCTTGTCAAGATAAAGTTAAAAGTCCACGAAGTAAAATTGGCGGTTAAGTAGGTCATTTAATTACAAAATGGTGGTATTGTTATTAAACATAAGTTTTATCTTTAAATTCTCTTTGAGAAAACTTGTATGACTCTACCCTACATTTTAAATGTTAGTGTTGACTGTTGAATGACAGTGAATATGTATAGCTATAGATTGACCAACTGCCCTAGATTTGAGCTAAGAAACCGAATCTTAGTTTTAATTTGTTTGTTACACAACTTTATATCATTGGAAGTAATAATGTCCAGCTAAACCATCTGAAGTTAAAGCAAAAAGGTTTATGTAACTGTCTGACTCACTTGAGTGACTTAATCAATAGACAAAAACTCGGTAATTTGGATTGTCTAAATACTTCTTAGAAAAGAAATGATCTAAATTTTGATAAGAGTGAACTTGTGAGTCACAGATTAAATGTCTTTTATGACCTTTTGAAAGAACATTGGCCTTTATTTCAAACATGTTTTTATCTACCTACATTAAAACAGGATAATAGTAGGCATGTTGATATTTATTCATTACTCATATACCTCACAGGATGTTTTAAATCCATAGAGAAAATACAAAGAGTTTACATTGCCAGAGCTTGTCTGTTTATTTTTTTTTAAATATTTACACATTTGTGTGTGATTTATTAATTTTCTACAAGGATATTATGATATTTGGTTCTATTGTGTTATTTTTTTGTTTGTTGTGAACCTTTTTTGTTATTAAATGTTCTGATTTCTATATAATCTTATCAAATATGTCTGAAAGATATTATTTTATTATTTTAGTTAATACTTGCTTGCTAATAAATCAGTTTGTCTCTAACACACACACACTGAAATTAGTGTACAAAATATGATAATATAACAAAATAACAAGACACAGTTGTAAAACAGTGTCAGAACACTAATTACTGTAAAAACCAATTTTCAATGATATCTTAGTATTTATTCAGGCACAAGGTTGTTAGTATCAAGATATTACCTTGTCAATAATTATTTAACATTGAACATCATATCATGACCAATTTAGCAATAATGTTTTCAACAACCACTTGTAAACAGTTTCTTTCATATCAATTTATATTTTTAAAATAAATACTCTTTAGTGAAAGTTGTCTGGCTAAATATTAGAATCATAATGGTGTTGCTATTTATTTGACAGAATATAAAATTAGAGAGTGTGTGTCTATGTAGTTTGTTTTCTAACTTGACTAAGCTGCTAAGCATACTTTCAAATTGCATTTTGTTAAAATATAATTATATTGCACTAAATTGATCACAAGATAATCTGCTGTTCTTAATTATTGTCAGTTTGCCACAGATTATAAATCACATTAATAATACAATACAAAACTCCTTACAGTTGATTACATTTAAGTATTTATATGTATAATTAATTATTTGTCTCAGTCTGAATGAATGTTCATTTATCTTAACACTACTGACATATATGTACTTCAATTATATTCATACTACACTCATAAATTTGAGTAGTATATTCATACACTTGAAAGCTGTGTAGGTATTTATTTTTGATAGCACATACCTAGCAACAAATCTGTTACATTTTTAGTAAGAATTTCACAACATTTTTTTTATAAAATAATGCTTTATGCTTGAATTTAATGCTGAATCTTGTAAATACAACTTGTTAGCACAAATAGTAATTTGCAAGCTGTTTTTAAATTGCAATATTCCATAATCCTTTAAGCTTGAACTTGCAATATGCCTTTATAGTTGGAAATGTCTGCCTAGCAACTAATAAAGTTCTCATGTAGCTAAGGATTTTTTAGTATCTTCATATTTCAATAATCATACGAAATTACTGCTCTTATCTAACCAGGAAATGAAGGAATAAAGCATATTCGGTTTCATATGAATTGTTTACACAAGACAAGCTTATCTTGTTCAGTTAATGCCAACTGTTCTACTAACATTTAAGATGATATTTGTTTAAACAAATGAGTTTCAGTTAGCTTGAAAGTTAAAAGCTTTTTGTAATACTTGTGTCATGGTTGAGGAGAAATGCCAATATAGGCAACAAATAATACTGTTATTATATGAACATTCCAATCATTCTAACATGACAATATTTTAAACATTTCTAAGTAACTAAAAAATAGTGCATACGGGAGGAAGTCTGGTTATAAGATCTTAAAATGTTACTTACAAAGCGTATAGGGAAGAAGTAACTTAATAAGAGATCTGTTTATTCTTTTCCATTGTTGCACATGGTAACGGAAAATCCTGTTTTTGCGCGCATTAATTTGCGGTATGGGCTAAGTTGATTATAAAGTTGTGTAACAATATTTATTTCTGAAACGATACAACCAATAAAAGTTTCTCCCTATACCCCCTATGACTTATTTTAAGCCTTCTATTTATATTTTAAGATATTCATAACTAAAAAGTTTTACATTTCTAGGGCTTTGAAAAATTGCCACAAAATCGGCGAAGGAGTGTACGGCGAAGTGTTTCTGTGGCGAGACAGAGATGGCCGAGCTCGTGTACTGAAGATCGTCCCTATTGCCGGCACGCTCAAGGTCAATGGAGAGAGTCAGAAGGACTTCCACGAGATCATATCTGAGATTGTGATTGCTATGTAAGTACATGTTATGATCATCATCTGCTGAATATAGTCTGAAATTCAACGCCACTCATCTCACATATCCTTGAGTTGTATGTATTTGATATTAAACAAAACAAAACTATATAAACTCGTCTAAGAATTGCAGTTCTCACTAGTTTATATTGATTCATTAGCATAGAAATTCTTTGTAATCTGTCCGCGCTATGAACAAAATTATTCCATGTTTACTCTTGCCAAAAACGAAACATAATATTGAATTTACAGTGAAAGTAATTTCAACCTTGTAGACTCGAAATTACATTATCAGTATGTTTTGGCACTAATATTGAACAAATGGTCTTGTACGCGTTACTTGAATTCAGGTTATGGGCTCAATGTCAATGGTAATAATGTAAAGAGTAGGCATTGAGTGAATTCACGTTGTTCATTCATCACGTAGTGTATGTATTATCCGTTGGCGCCACCAGGGATTTATGTCCGGTCAAATTTTTGATGAGATAGTTTGGAAAATATTGCTCTCTCTAGAAAGGAATGTTTCAAAATACTTTTATCGTATTTCGAAGTGCATAACAAAATGTTGCAATACTGATTATTGTGACACGAATTCGCGGTAGGTACTTCCTCAGGCCTTACCGATGACTAAATATAAGCAGAAATAAAGATTACGATTTTATCAATCACCAAATACAATTTATCGAAGTCTGCTGACTATTTATGTAATCAATGTCATCATACAAATTAACGTCCTTGTATTTTCGCTAGCGTACTTCCTAATTTAGATAAAAATCGCAATATAATATTATTATATTACTTACTAGCTACTCTCGCGCGGTTTAACCCGCTGCTCAACTCCATTTGATCGTAGAGTGATGTTTTATAGCCTGTAGCACTCAGGAAACTTGTAGCTATTTATCAGTGAAAGAATTTTGGCAATTCGACCAGCGGTTCCAAAGATTACCCCCGACATATAAACTTACAAACATACAAACTTACAAATTTTGCCTCTTTATAATACTAGTATAGACGATCAAACATCTTTTACGTGTTTGACTGATACCTACTATAAACTAAACTTATGTTTCATCAAATAATAATAGACAAGAGTCAATTATACATATATCGCGGAACACATCGCTATTGTATTTAATCTGGGTCAATTTATCAGTAACTGGTAATGTAAATTAATACATATACCTCGTTTGTTAATAAATAGACAAATATACTTAAATAAATAGGTCGCTTGATTGAATTCTTTATACAGTCTCAAAACCTTATTTGACATACCGCCAAATGATACGCGAATATAGACTCTATTTGTTAATGAAATTGAGACTACTGTAACATGTGCGTTTGCCAAATTAATGCTATACAAATAACCTCATTATACATCGTATCCGCTGTTAATTGTTGTGACCCAATTTTTTAAAGTAATAAAACGTTTCTAATCTTTTCTTCGATGTTGCGATCTCACAAAGAAACTAGTAGTAAAAAGTGACTCCGCAATTGCGATGACTTGGCAACAGCGTTTATATAACAATGGTTTTAGCTCCATATCAACGAAGTGAATTTAATTGTTTTAATTACGTGATTATGTGCTTTGTTATTCGTTAGTTACCAAACTCTTTTGAACGTGTATGTAAGGGTCTTTGGAATAAACAAAGCTCTCTTGCTCTTGGTCTCGTAATACCTAAGTGTTTTCGCTGAAGGTGACGTAATACTTTGGAAGGATTCTGTATTGCCTTAAGTCTTAACTTATAAGCCATTTCATTAAAGCTCAGGACATAACTTTTTAAAGTTATTTTACTGTTGAAATATTAATTTTCGTCTCTTCGGTAACAAATCCGTTACATGCCGTCGCATAAATCTGTTGTATAAATAGAAATAGGTTTTAAACTCTGGAATGTTTCACTAAAGATGCAGTAGTTTTGTTTTATTAACGATCACTTTTCTTTTAATAGGGAATTGAGCGCACTACGCGCTCCCATAGCTGAAATTAATCGCCACTTTGATGAGGGGAAGGACGTTGAGGCGCTGGACTTGCACTCTATAGAGAATGCCACTGATATCTTTAATGAGGTAAGTCAACATTTCATTATAATTTCATAAGAAAAGCTTCAAGAAGATGCAGATAGACTTATACTTCTTTGGAAGGGAACAATAACTTAGAGAACTTATTGTTCCCTTCCAAATCAAAAGTTTCAAAACTTTAAAATTATTAACACCTGTGACGTTGTTTTGTACGTTACAAACTCTTGTAAGACATTTTAAATTAATTATGCTTAATAATTTCTCATTTGTAATTCTTCTTATATTCTTAAGACTATTATATTATATGTATATATTATAGTAAAATAACTCTTCATTTCAAGTGTCCCTGAAAACACTAACCTACGTAAATATACCGTTTAACAACACTGACTTTCTGTAACACGACGTTAGATACGAGTAAACATATATATTATACATCTATGTATACTTGTAAGCTCTGAAGGTTTCCGCGATGCGGTGCAATCGATACCCCGGTATTTGATACAAGGTCGGCGTGGGATTTAGTTGGTACCTTGCGCCTTACATAATCCTTGAGTATTCCTCGAAGCGAGAAACTTACAAAAATCATTTTCTTTAAATGAAGATTTGTGTGGGAGAGCCATGCTTTTCGGCGAATGGGTCGCCTCGACCGGAGTGATACCACGGCCTCACAGAAAACCGGCGTGAAATAAACACAGCGTTGTGTTTCGCCGTGTGAGTGAGGTTACCGTAGAACCAATCTTTCCTCTCCCCCAATAAGTCGGCAACGCACTCGTAACTACACTATTGTTGTGAATGTCCTTGGGCGGCGCTGATTGCTTACCATCAGGTAATCCGGCTCCTCGTTTTCGTCGACCTAACACATAAAAAGAAATAGTAGGAATAAATATTTTGTCAGCACTTTTAAAAGTGCAAAGTATTGTAGATTCACAAGTGCGAGTTAATGACGTAATCTGAGCGAAAAATGATACGGTGGACAATGGGTAGTTACGTAATGTTGTTGCGATTGTCCAGAGACGTGCATCGAGCGGACTGATGACGCGAGCTATGCGGTTAGCAACACCAATGCATTTGATACCCTCTTTAAGATACATTAAACAAGATGTGTCCTTTGACTTTGTCTACATTGACAATGATTTACGTTTTAGATAGAAGACTGATCTGTCTTCTTCTGAAGGAAAATATACAATACAGCAAAGTTCTCAGTTAATTATAGAACTTATGATATTGGTTTCGTTTTCTTCAGAATTTCATCTAAATCTGTTCATTTGTTTTGTTATAATACATTATAAAATGATCGCAGAAACTTTCACATTTTTAAACATTGAAATTATGTTAAGTATTTGCATATAATTATCTAGCACATAGTCCAACTTGGAACCAATAAATATTTTCAATCTAAAGTGATATTCGCACACTATCCGAACAAAATATATTCGCAAACAAATAAGGTCGCACAAATATTTACGTCAATGGGAATTCTCTTGTCGGTGCCAGATGTGGTGTTTACGTGGAATGGGTCAATATTCTCAACCAAACAGGTCCATTATCATTGAATTTTCCTTATAACTCAAAATATTTAGTGTGGATGTATCTATTTAAATCAATGCCACTTTTCGTTGTAATGTTATAACTCAACAATGCCTTTATCGATTTGGCTAATTCTGGTCTTGAAATAAATATATATAAATGCTTAAATCTTTGAAACTACGCAATGGATTTTGATGCCGTTTTAATAGATGGTGTAATTGAAGAGGGAATAACGTGGAGAAAGTAAGTTTCAGTGTTGCACCCGTGCAAAGCCGAGGCGGGTCGTTAGTAATTCATAAACCTGAATTATTAAAACTGTGTTCTGTAACCCTTGCTTACAGGCTTGCCAAGCCTAGCCATACATCGCGAACCTCTAGGTTATGTATTGTAGAGAGAAGGTCCATATTAACTTCTGATATAGTTCAAATTCTTCTGCCAGCGTAAATAGAAGTGTATGATGTTAATCTCGACTATATTTTATCGCTTTACAAAATTTTATTTAGATCCCTTCAGTAGTTTTTAGGTGAAAGAGTAACAAACATCCATCTAACATTCTAGCTTTCACGTATGTAATATTTAATATGAGTAGGTATGGCGGTTCTATCGAAGGTGAAATGAAAAACATTGAACAAATGTACTATGTAAGGTCCACGTGTGAGCAATATTATGATACGACGCAATACCTAATCGTGATCGAGATAGTTGTAGTAAAACACGCACTAATTGAAGTATCATATCTCATTTTTTGACACGTATGTACGTTGATATTATTATAAATTGTTGTCAGCATTCACAGTTTCTCAGAAATATGCGCACAGATGCACAGGAAAATGTTGACTAACCATGTTTGTAGTGGATTGCCAAGAATTTATTGTAGTTTGTAAAAGTTTCCTCTAGTTTCAGTGCTGTTTGTTGAGAAATATTGATATAAACACCGTTAATATTACTATTAACAATGTAGTCCACCTCGTCTAAAACCGTTTTGAATTTCAAAAGTCAAATAGAAGCACGTTTTGGCAAAACAAAGTCGTTTGGCAGTGATCGATCTTCTATGTTAGCATTCAACAACGAAAGGATCTTTAAATCACGATACTACTAAATAAATCACTGTCTTGATAGCTATGTAACGTAACAAAAGCATGAATAAAAAACGGACAATTTTGTAAATTGAATTCTCTATGGGCCTTTCTCAATTCTGTGTTACCTGTGGGAGTAACCTGTTAAGGTCCATAGATCCTCTTTTACATAATAGATATTTCTACCTGCCTATGACGTCACCTGTCCCTTTCATCTAATTATGTAACAATTTGAAAAGGACGCATTATCCAACGTATTTTTTTCCATACGAGATTATTCTAGTATTTTGTATCTTTAAAGTATGATAAATTGTTTAAAGTCAACAGAGTAAAACTGATTATTTAATCTATCATCACGTTTGTTGAAGATAAGCTTAGAAACTCGACGACTGTACATGCAACGTTTCTACTTGATATGCAGTTACTATAGCATGTTGTGAAATCTCTTCCTCAACTCAACCGACCTCAGCTATAAAGTTTTATAGCAAATATTAATTGGCAAAATGTCCACTCGTCATAAACGTATTTAGCATATTATTAAAACTATAGAAATGAGGTCATTACAAATGCGCGTCACGAACCGGTTCTAGGAAAATGAATCACCGTATCCGCGGCACGACTAACGCTGAACGTAAAATTTTACTTTCGAAACTCACGTGAATCATCGTATTGACGAAAATGAACAATGTTTGTTTGTTTGATACAATAACTAGGCCGCACTGTTATCGGAACAAGACGCCCGTATCTCCACAGCTGGCGCATAATTTGAGTTTGTTAAGCCAATTATAAATTATGATTATAAACGGACGCAATTTATTTCTTTCTTGAACAATTACTCATTGTTGTGGCTTCATTCATTATGTTTGCGGTAGGTAATTCTTTGACGGGTGTTTTATCATATCATTCTTTGTATGCAACTGCAGTGTGTCAGCCTTATCTTCGAGACAGACTAGTGATTCCTGCTATTCAAATTAGAGGTCGTTTGTACGATGTAATAATCTTGCAGTAATTTACAAAGCTCTTAACATACAATATTTTGTTTGCGTTTCACAGCCATTGTGCGATAGTGGCGACCTTATGTCTCTGGTATCATGATGTAAATAAGATTTGTACGTCCTACATGAATTGCAAAAGTTGATATTCATTGCGCTAGAAACTCGTTTCTTTCTTACCGCGTTCACTTGATAGGGAAAAACTAACTTTGTCTAAAAATAAGCAGCGAGGGCTATAACACATAGTAACAACATTTTAACCCAGCCTTTCCCTTTAAAAACACATGTTGCTAAGCTGACATTTTAAACTAAGGCCAGGGATATCTTGTTTTAAAATTCCGCTAAGCAACAGGTTGCAAGCTCCTAAGATGGCACATGGCGCTTCCTTTCTCTACACGCGATAAAACAACAATCGAGCGCAGCTGCTTCACATTCTTTATTGTAAGTTGTGGACGTTTTATTGGCAAGCCGCAAGCTCCCGCTCCGGCCGGCTTACGTCTCTGTTACGACAGGTTTCCTATTCTACGCTAAACATATTCTATGTTCGTTTGAAAAACAGTATTTAGGAAACTTGACCTAACCCGAATTTTGGCCATTTGCCTCTATCGCCTTGCTGAATATTAATGCCATGTATTTTCCATTTCGTCTTGGAACAAAAGCAAAAGCCCGGATTTCAATGTTGTATACTTTGCTAAATTTAGAACTTCCTTCTAATGTTTGGTTTATATTTGGCGCTTGTTGATTCGGGACCACACACCAGAAATATTCAATAACTGAAGATATACTCTATAAATGTTTTTTTTTATAGGTTCTAGCTGTGAGATGTGTTTACGGCAGCTACCCAGCTCGCTTGCTTGATTTGTGGGATCTGTATGACGAGTGCAAAGGCTCTGAGAACGACAACCCTGCTATACTGCCGGTAGACCAGCAGTTCATTGTGCTGGAACTAGCTAACGCGGGTCAAGATTTGGAGAGCTACCAGTTCAACAACGCTGAACAGGCGTATGCCTTGTTCCTTCAGGTATGTTTTTCACTTTTTTATTGCAAACGCATGGTGTTTATTTTTTATAATTTTGATGTTGTGTATGTATTCTTAATTAACTTTTTTTCTAAACAGAATGTTAATCTATTTTTTTTGTTATGTTTTTGCTGTTACAAAACGAATTGAGTGCATTTTTTTGTTACGACATTTACTTTCATGAAATGATTGATGTTGTGAGTAGAAAGTTACAAATTGCTGTATTTATTTCGTTATTAGTGACTGATTGTGATTGCAGTCACGAAAAATACAGTATAATTATGTGAACCGCAATTACATTTATGTTTAATGGCTTTTTGTTCAAAAGTCCTTACATATTTTGGTTATTTATTCAGTCGAACCTTACTGTTCTCGTTATTGCATGATGACCATAGACTTTTGTAGAAGAAGCCATAGATGTTTGTGTTTGATTTTTTTTTTCTTGTGTTTTTTTTTTCAGTGGCTCTCACCCTGCATGTAAGCAGCCTCCACGGAAGATAAGCGATATTCTAGTATCAAGTTGTTTACGTATCTTGACTAGATTATCACTTATCCTCTGAGGTCGCTTTCGCGCGCTTTACATGTGTTACCAGTGTGTGGATTTTATTTAACATTTTATTTTTTATTTAGCATGTTTTTGTTATCTCTTTTGTTGTTGTAAGATTTGTAGATAATTATTTTGTAACGAAGTGTTAATAGTTTATAAAGGACTATTTTTTACTTTCTCATAGTAAAATAAATGTAATGAAAATTAAATATTATGTTCTGTTTGAGAGATAATCGAAGATTCTAATCTTTAATTTTGATTTTTTATTTGATTCGTAATAATTAATAAAACTTATGTGTAATGAAATAGGCCTTTAAAACATTTTGTTGTGATTATTTTACCTTATCTTTTGTATGTTCTTGTATGTCATAAATTAATGTTTATAAATTATTTTTCTACAAAAGTGAATTGATGTGTTAACAGGTTGCGTATGGTCTGGCGGTTGCGGAGGAAGCCTTTCAGTTTGAGCATAGAGATTTGCACTGGGGTAACGTGCTGATTGCTCCCACAGAACAGAAGGTATGTCACTCTTGATGAAACTTAATCTTAAGAATATTGACAAAGATTTTCCTTCAAAAATATTACAGAATTTTTCGATGATGTGATTAAGAAGAAGGGAAGACTAGCTCAATTACAATACAATAATGATTTGACAAAACACTGACATTTGAAGCTGAATCTGTTTAACACTGTGCTGATTAATACAGATTTGGTAACAGACCAAAGACTTGTCAATATTTGTTAAGAATATATTTATAATAAACTAGCAGACCCAGCCATGCGTTGCTGGGGCTAAAGTAAATAATATTGTGACTATAAATTGAGATGTTAGCTATCCTATCTTTCAAGTTAGATCAAAATGCACACAGTAGTTTAGGAGTCCATCGCGGAAAAACACGTGATACGAAATTTTTATAAATAAAGACTTTGGGTGAGATCAAATCTTAGTTTATTACACTTCTGCTAAATTTAATACTAAAATAAAAGGAATTTTATGTAATTGATATTGATCAAACCATCTCCATGTCAGGACTTTGCGGACTATAAGAACTTAAACTGAAACTAAATAAAAGAAAAAAACTCTTGCAACAGGGATTTTACACTGAATGATCTATTTAACTCTTGTTAAATTGCTATTTACTCTTGTAAACAGCCAGATACTCTCATTGTCTGCCCATTGCGATCGCGATGGCGCTCACTGTACCATGTCGTTGAGTTATCGACGCCATACTATCGCCGAGCCCACCGCGATGTCGCCTGATCAATTCACTTAAATGCTATCTTGGTATCTTTTAAATGATGCTGATAAGTGCACAATGAAATTGTTATTCGTGTCGACATGCACTGTCCAGTTTTCTTGTAAAAATATGTACCAGTTTTATATATAATTATGTATTTTGTTGGTTAATTAAGCCAGTCTTTAGAGCAAGCACGTATATATACACGTATGGTTATGAATCTATATACTTTTATTATGAAATGTAATCCTAAGAACCGCTGGTCGGATTTCCAAAATTCTTTTACTAATAAATAGAAGAGAGCGCCAAGTGTAAATTAAATAATCACATTCTCCATTTTTTTCTCAATAGTCAATTTTTTATTCTTGACATTATCATTGAAATTTTTGGAGATATCGCCTTAAAATATCCCGTAGTATTTTTTCTGCATATTAAATGATCACACCAAGTAGTTATCAGCTCTTTCGTTTTCACGTTTCGTTGATCTTTCTCAAGGTATAACGCAACAAAAAACGAAAAAGCAATTTAATGTCAATATTATGCACAATAATGAAGTAAACAAATTTCTAGTTTACGCGCTTACTTACAGATGACGTCAGTAATAATCATAAATTAGCACAATAAAAAACTTAAATCTTACCGTTCAATATAGCATTGCCATAAAACAGGTTTGAATTACTAGTTTTACGCTAACAGTTACATAAACCTCACTATACTATTGTATAATCGGGTATTGTAGAGTGATCGTTATTATTTGATATACTTGTAAGGAAAGGATCTGCAGATTTTCAGTCGGATCTCCTGATGATAAAAAGCCCGGTCCGCCCATCAGCACCCGCAGCATAAGAGGTTATGTAAGTCCTTTGCCAGCCTATTAGGAGCTAGTGATTTGTGGATTGGGGAATTGGGGACATAGTAGTGGGGTTTGGGCCATCGGTATCCTAATTATTAGGTACAAGGAAATAATGTTGTTATGTCGTAACAAAACAAAGAAAGCCTGGAAAGAGCGCTGTCTAAATCAATGAAAATAAAAAACGTAGGTTGCTTTAATCAATTTTAAAATGTATCTGTAGGTAGTTTTTGTTTTCGCCAGTAAATAGAAAACAACATATACATCCACTATTGCATTTATTATGTACGCAAGACGAACATAAATAAATCGGACTTTAAACGCAGGAGATATAGCCATAACGTACCTAACAATACGATCAAATTGAGAAATTCGTCGTAGTTTTTGAAGTCTGTTACAAAAAACGGTCGTCCAGCCCTATTTAACCTTGGTAGAAGACGAGGAGGTGGTTGACATTTGAAACAAGCGTCTCGTCTACTCGAGTCAGAGTAATGCTAACGCACCCAGTCTAACGGGTCAACAACCTCCCCTCTGATAGTCGCGGCGAAATTGTTATCTTTTAGTTCTTAAACGTTCCATATTTGAATTTTGAAATCAGTACTTTTAAATATTTGTTTTGAGGATGTAATACAATTCTTATATTAGGTTTGATATAGAAACTATCGTCTTATCTATAAATATGTTTTTTTCAATATTTCGAATTCACAGAAAAATAAACTTCATAGGATAACTAAGCTACAGCTTTCCATTTATGAAAACGAACTTAACATGTAATTTATTTATTTCATACATACAAATATACATACAATAATAATAAATATACATACAAATTTCATCAGAGTTTCATACTAACTTAAAATTTGATCAAAGACCTATTAAATTTCTGACGTAAATACAAAATAATATATTACAAAATTTAACTTGTAACCTTGGCTATAATGCGATATCGAAATTAATTAATTTAAATATCTTAAACATTATCGACTAATACATGTAGGGACTTTTTTCTATCGAACAAATAGATCAAAACAATATGAAAAAATGTTTATTCTTAATTATTATAAACACTGATAATATTTGATAGCAACATTTGATAACCTGAATGCCTTCTTGATTGTGTAAAATGCATTTTTCAGTAAACATAATAATGAAATAAGTTGGGAATGCATCATATCATAATTATTATATATATTATAGTGTTATTTTAAATAGATATGACAATAGCTTCGACATAGCAATTAAACAATTGATATTTTTTATTATAATAACAAGAATTCTTTATTTTCAAAGATATTCATAATTATGCTTCTGTCAGTAGTGTCACCCACGCTATCCAGATACGAAAGAAGCCTAAGGTTTATTCCACACTATGAACTATGTGTACAAAGTTTCATTAAAATCGATTCAGTATTTTTGCACTAAAGAGTTACACACAAACATACATCGTCACGATATTTTTGTGTTCATAATAATTATCGACCTATTTTACAAAATCGAAATAACCACTTTAGAATATTAGAACGTAATTAGTGTGAAGTATGTGGCACAGAACTTTATTGGAAAATTAATGAAGGTTGAATGAAACAGTAGGATTGTAGAAAACAAAATAGTTTACTTCAATTAGAACAGAAGTCACCTAGGATCGACCTTCGGAGGTTGACGGACAGTTTAAAAGGCGCAGGTTCAAGTTGTGACCTCCGAAACAAGGTCGAAGCGCTGTATCGAATTTCGAAGGTTACTTGAAACCACGGAATAGAAAATACAGTGGAAGTGCCGCTCAGACATCGCGCGCTAACCAACATGATGACTAGATATACAACATTTTGGCACATTTGTTGTCAGAATCGTTCGATCCGTTGTCATGATTGGTTGTCATGGTTGTCTCTAAGAAACACGAAATATATTAGAAGTTATGCTTTGTTGTGCGGTTTCCAACTGCAAAAAAGTAAGCAGAAAAAAAGATGAGTCTAGTGGTGGTGTATCGTATCATCTTTGAGTATTAACCTTTGTTAATTTTAAATATATTTGATTTTAATGTAAATATCACATTTCATTACTTCAATGCAAACTATAAAGGGCCTTATTTTCATTACAATTAAGTTTAAATCTACTTGTTCGTTATGTGACGTTATATACAATACATTCTAGTAGTTTCGACGCTACTCATTTAGGGATGCGACATATTCGTAAAATAGGTTCATATCGATAATTTTTCATCATCATCGTTCAGAAAATTGATTTTTGACAATTGTTGTGTATAATTCATAAATGTTTAACTAAGATTGCATAGACACATCAACGTTTTAACCACACACAGCGTGCATCCGTCTGTGGCAGGTGCGGGTGGTTAATCACCATTTTTATTTTATAACTAGTTTTCGCCAGCGGCTTCGCCCGCGTGCTGTGTTGATAAAAAGCAGCAAATAGCAATAGAACAAAATCTAAGTATACATAAAATTTGGTATTTATCGTCTCATTTTTATGGGTACATCTCCAATGGGTAAATACCCTATTACTTACTAAGTCTCCGCAGTCCGTCCGTCTATAGATAGAAAGGCACGGATCTAACTAATAGGTAAGAGTTACAAATATTTGATAAAACCTATATTATATTATATTTTATACCGCATCGTGTCGAGCACGGCAACCGCTACACAAAAATAATTCTTATACCATGATTCAGTGTTCACTTGCGACGGCGCTATGTCTTATTATCCGAATTGCTAAGCTATCAGGAGTTACACGTGCTATTGTGAGTAAACGATAGACATATGCTGTAAAACATTTTTTTTAGACAATTTTATTTAAAATATTTCCGTCATACATAATTTCTATGTAAGTTTAACCATTAAGGTTACACACGCGACTGAAATTTACAAAAGGGAGTAACTTCTCCCGTTTTCCCAACATTTTCCTTCACTGCTCTGCTCCTATTATTTGTAGCGTGATAAAAAGTATCCTATAACCTGCCCAGGAGTATAAAGAATAATTGTACCAAGTTTTGTTAAAATCCGTCGAGTAGTTTTTGTTTCTATAAAGAACATACAGACAGACAGACAGACAGACAGACAAAATTTTTTCTGATTGCATTTTTGGCATCAGTATCGATCACTAATCACACCCTGGTAGTTATTTTGAAAATATATTTAATGTACACAATTGACCCCTCTACAGATTTATTATAAGTATAGATGTTGTACATGATTTTTATCAGAGTTCCAAAAAGGAGAGTGACTCTCAATTCGACGGTAACATTTTTTTTTGTTTTTTCGTCTCCGTTATTTATGAACGATTTTAATGATTCTATTTTAGTTGGAAAGGAGATAAAACTTGTAGGAGCGCGTAGTGCTTTTATATGTTAAAATCGAAATCTTAAATAATAACTTGACCATCTCCAAAAAACATTAAATCTTCAAAAAATATGTTAATATTTTTCTTTTTTTCTATTAGAATCTTTTTCATTACTGATCATTTGTAGGTATATCGTGTCGATAAATTATATTGCTCACTCGAATACAAAAACATCGATATATTGGGATACCCTGCTCTATCTGAGTAGCAAAATAGTAAATGTCTATTGGTACAAGTGCATACAAATATGACATCTATTTCAAAGAAGTTAGCGTTTTGAATAGAATGAATTTGTTACAGCGCCATCTAGCGTTGAGTGGCTGAACCCGTTTGTAAATTGTTTTATTTAAGTTTTTTACACGATAGACGCCTTTATTAATTGTGACATGTGAAATGATAACAACTTTCGCTCATTGTTATAAGACTCAATTTTTAACAACATTTAGAAGATCATTTGCTAAAGTTGCGTTTCATCTTTTTACCCAATTATATAGCTGTTTTTTATGTGTGTAATGGATAATTTGATTTGCGAATGTGTGATTTTGGCGACACTGGTTTTCCTTTTGAAAGAGTGTAGGGGCACTTCTACTTAATTTTCTGTTCTGTGCTTGAAACAGTAAATTTACAAGTGGGAAGTAAGACATAAGTGTAAATTTAATATTAAATACTTATTCGAATTACGAACAGAAACTTTTTTAAATTTGTCTGCGCTATAGGCAGTTATGCTGAATGTTTTAGACAATGGCATGAAGTGTTCTAAGAATGTCAGGGTTTTGTCAATTCCGTGTTGTAAGAAGTCTTTAATTAATTTATTTATGATTGAAATTCTTTATACATAATTACGCTTCTGTATGAAACTTGTGTTATTTTCTCAAAAATGTTTTTACATTTTCGTCATCATCTTGTTGATAATATTTTGTATAATTGTATGTTAAACAATATTTACATTGGATTGTGTAACAAATACTGTGTTACAAATGTTTTTTGTTGAACTGATGAAATTGATAAGAATACATAGTCTCGTTTTGTTACAAACATTGAAAAAAGATAAATTGGGAATGAAGATGATGTAATATAAACTGGCTTTCTATATGGTAAAGATGTCAGAGTTCCCCAAATACATTGGGACGAAAACATATCTAGTGTTGATGAAACTAATAATCGAATTTAATTTGTCATCAGTACGCAACGTTTGTGCTGCGCGGTCGGTCTCACCGAGTGGCGCGGTGCGGGGTGGCGGCGACCATCATCGACTACTCTCTGTCGCGCGTGTCCCTGCCGCTGGCGGGCGGCGACTGTGCAGCGCTCTACAACGACCTGGCCACCGACGAGTCGCTCTTTGAGGCCGTCGGCGACTACCAGTTCCAGGTGTACCGCCTCATGAGAGAGAAGTTGGGGTAAGCATCTATTTCATACAGAAGTTTCTGCCACCGATTTGAACCACAATACATGAGTAAAAAGTAGCTCGCGTATTATTGTTCTTAACTGTAATCTATTTTGGTACCAAGTTTAAATCGGTATAAATAAACTTCAGGATTATTTTAGTATGGCAACTACATAGTACATATTATAGCAAATTGTATTGTGGAATTAATTTCATCAGACTTGAAATTTTCCATTCCATTTAAACCAGCCTCGTTAGTTAGCCTTTTATTGAAAAGGACATTGATATAAACCGCACATGCTATTCTTGTTATCCTGCCAAAGGCCGTTCGTATAAATACGCGGGGAAGGCCCCCTCCCCGCTCGTGTATTTACGGACTTCCTTTATTTTCTCCCACAAGATACGTAGCTCGAACTATGAATAAAACATAAACTCTGCCGAGTAAATTATTTGATATGTCACACGCTATGACGCACGATACTAGAGTATACTTATATGATAGTGGTTTGATCTATTCCTCTGCTTACTGTAAATATTTGCAAACGTCGTTAATGTACATTAATCGCTTATTGTATTATTTTATTACTATAAGCGATTATTTTATTGTTAGGATTATTTATATTATAAATAAATGATCTGCGTCAATAAAATCTATGTGGAAATGTCGGTACAATTATTACTATTATCATTGCGAAATGTTACCATTGAAATAATACTTGTAGGAAGGCCAGTTTTCTTATTTTAATATTATTTCCGAGGTCGTGTAAAAAAAGTTAGGTATATTTAAAATTTGCTATTTGGTAGACTACAAGTAGGTCGAATGATAGAGTGCTTGAATACCGAGCAAGGTGCATCTGGTTCGAATCAGGGCTAATACCTAAATTACTTTTCTGTAGCCGGTGTACGATAATGGGCTAATCTTTCTTATTATGAACATGTGATAAAAGCTGTAGAAAGAAATGAACTCCATTTAATAATCAAATAAGAATTTATGAGTATTAATGATTGGCATTTAGCCAAAACCGAAACGATCTAGAGAAAATAGCTTTCAGAATATGTTTAATTAATAGTTGTTTTTACTTATTACAGAAATGATTGGAAGAACTTCGCGCCTTACACAAACATCCTGTGGCTGCATTACACTGTGGATAAAATGATAACGGCCCTCCGCTACAAGAGGACAAATACTAAAATTCATAAGCACTACATTGACAAACTGAAGGGGATCCAGAGCAGAATACTAGACTACGGTAGCGCGGCCTTATTTGTGCTAACTGACAACGAAATATAAAAACGAACAAATTATGATAATATACAAAACAATTTCATATGTAAATTAATACAAACTAGTCTTAACAATGGATTTAATAAACTGCTGTTGCTATAAATCTGACATAACAATGAATAACATAAATTATTATAATGTAAATAAAATTTGCTTTGATAAATTCTTTGAAGAAACTATAGACGCTAAAAGAATTATTTACGATGTTGTCGCATTATTAGAACAGTTACAGATAGAGGGTGCCTTTTTAGATAAGGTAGTGCCTTTGTTCACATTAATAAATTCATTATATTGTGTTCCCAAATATTTGTTTTATTCAACCTTTAGTATAAAAAAATAGTACACAAACCCTAAGTTCATCGCGTGCGAAAATCGCACTGAGCGCCTCGTGCCGGACTTCAATGTAAGTGAGTGCATCAAATTGGGTCGTGAAGGTACTAGTAAATCTTGTAATAAACAGATTCCATTCCCACAAGAGCTGGAATTTGATGCACTAACTTACCCCATAGTAAATTGCCGAGTTATCTGGCTCGAACCCACATTGAGATTCGATCACTTCTTAACTAGACCTACACCTAATATCCTACCATCCTACTGTTAAATGTGAAAGACAATAATAATTTATACAGGTAAAACGCAGTGATTGGAGTAAATAAAGGGGTGCTAGAAACATTTACCGAAATCTATAGGCTCCTTTTCTTTATCTATTCTTTCATCCCTTATTCGGTAGGTAGCATCATTGCTTTGAGACTGTAATCTGGTATATGCCTTCTGCCACAAATACCGACTTCATCAGTCATTCAACATGGGCCTGAATAATAGTCGTTTGATTGAATGCCTGAATTTCTGAATTGAACCATTCAGATTGAGCGGAACGTGAAGGTTGATTGTTTGCTACTTAGATTCAAAGAGAGAACTACCTAATTCGACGTTAGGTTAGATTAGGATTGCGACCTGCACAGAAATCGAATTGACATCAGAATACCTGCTTCCAGAATTGTATAGCGATTTCATTTATTGAACAGGATAGGCTATTTACTGAATAACATATTGACCTAGTAGGCTGCACAGATCATGTGATCCTGAGTGCTTAAAACTCGGGGCGTGCCTGGTCTGTTTATGGGTAAATAATAAGTAACTAAATATTACAAAGAAAATTTAAAAATATAAATAATGACATAATGCTTTTCATCTCCCAAAGGCTTAGGTAGAGTAGAAAAGGAGGGTTGGAGTTGGTAGATATGAAAAATGCATATCATCAAGAAATCTGGTACTGAATAGTGTATATCGAATTATTTTATGAATATCAAAAGATTATTCCTTTTCAGGTATATTTAATTAGGGATTTCTACAAGTTTTTATTTTACTTTATTATGTTTATACATTTTTTGAAGTTCATATTATGTACGGTGTGTTTCTGAACCTAAAGAAATTATTCAGAAAAAAATTATTATCGTTCCCGAACGAATGTCTTATCTGTCAAGTTGTCAATTGCGGATTGTAGTCAATCGTTATCAGTTTTCCATTTCTTTTGCCAAAAATCATCAGAAATGTTTGTTAAATAGCATAAATTTTAGTAGAAACCTAATTAGTACAAATATATGTAGATGCAATTTGGATGCTTCGTGACATTTATACTTAATTCGATAATTTTATGTGTGCAAACAAAAGTCTTTAGTAAATCACTCTAATCGTATTTTTCATGGAGTTTTCTTCAAGCTGGTGGTAAATACACTAAAATGAAAAGTGTATCTAGTGTAAAAATGGAGGCTAGCAATGATTCTTTGTCTGGTAAGTCGTGTACAATTGTTGAAAATAGTTATATAAAGTTGGGTGTTATAATCGCGTGCGTTGGTGTAATTCAGTGCTATCTCCGCCAATGACGGGTTCTCCTGCTGTGTTGCTGACTCCTGGCCGGACAAGGAACATCGCACAGGACATGGAAGCTCTCCGATTGTCACGACAAGACAATCCCTATCTCCAGGTAGGACTTATATAATTTAAAACACAATTACGTCTTATTGCGGAAATAATTGTAATGAGATGCGTTTTCCGCGTAGATTATGTGTTAACATTACTTTTATAGTATAAGGAAGAATTTAGTAAATAAGATTTTTTACTATTATATCTCATTTTTGCTATTTTAATACTAAAAAATAGGTTTGCAGAAACATGAAATTAAAAAAAAATCGTTGTTGTAAGTTGTTGTGTAAGGACTGCTCATGAATTTCTAGTTTTACATTGTTTACATAATGTGTATAGTAAAAACCATGTATTGCAAAGATCTACTTTGAACGAAATAAATATAGAATTTTAGTTTTTAAAAAATCATTGCATATTTTCAGCAGGTAATGGCTAGCAGAGAAAGTCTGATTGAAAGCCACGCTGAAGAGTGTGAATCCGATGACACAATACTTATGTCACAGGTAAATATTAAAAACTTTTTTATGTTAATGTAGCTCTGTGGTTTAGAGTCTGGGTATTCAACACTTTTTTTCTTTTTTACTTTTGTTTTTTATTTCACAACCTCAATCTTACCTTATTGGCATAGTGTAAAGAGGATTTTTTAGTGTGATCTCTTTTGACCTTTCAATTTGTGACACATATCACTCTAGTCGAGCCAACCAAACTTATGTACGATTTATTTTCACCTTTAGCTTCGCCTATATAATATATGTTCATAAGAAAAATAATCCATACGTTAATAATCTAATGTTACTTTAACATCCTAACCAATTGGCATGTGTTTAGGGTCTGGACTTCAGACAAATATTATAATAGTCATTTAAATTGAAACAATACATTGCAACATGAAAATACAACAAACAAAGTACCTAACTTTCCTATTTAAAATGTTACTACGGAATTAAATTAGAATGATAAAACTTTCAATTAAAATTTTGGAAAAAAGCTTGTTGAGGCTTGTTGTCTTATCATTAATGATACATATGAAGATAAAAAAGTATAAAGAGATAAATAATTAATTCAAACTTTTTGATATAACACAATAAAATTATAATTGTCTAGTTTTATTTGGTGTATACTTTTTTATGAAGGGTAGACTCATGTGGAATTCCACATGGTACAGCATTGAAGTAGCCTTATTCTAGATTATACATAGTCAATCTCTGTAAATCTTCATTCAAATCCTTTCCAGTCATCTAAATATTGTGTGAATTATAATAGGGATGTTATGGATATCAAATTTCGAATACAGATATAGGAATGATTATTATACTGGATATGGTTACGAATACAGATATGAAATTACTTTTTTCAAAGGAATTTCAAAAGTAAACTACACACACATAATATAATATTATAAGCTTTTTTTTATTTTAACTTTCGTGAGACATTCTAAATTATTATGTTTTCGGCTTACTCACATCTCGGCGACTCACAAAAACAAATGTAAAAATATATGTTGATGTTTTGAAGTAGGTGCGTTTGTCATACTATAGGTACGCCATTTTTATTGTAGGCGCGAACTTGAACGTGATTCTAATTGGCTTGTCGAGATTACAGCAGTAGAATTGTCGCATAATCTACTTTGTATTGAACTTTTTGGTTGTTTCTGCTCTAATTAACTTATACTAATAATATTTGTTTGCTTCCAATAATTTTATTATATTATATTTTCACACTGTGATGGGCTTTTGCATTTGTCGTCTGTTATTTAAATTAGTGACTTAATCTATAATATAAAAAAAATGAATCGGAAAATGCGTTGGTAAGCGCATAACTCAAAAACGGCTGGACCAATTTTGCCAAATCCTTCGGTATTGTATTTATTATTTTCAGGAGAAGGTTCTTATGAAAGAAAATATTAGAAAAGTAGAGGGAAAAATTGGGGAAAAGGGACCCTTTCATTGTTATCGAGATATTTGGACCCGTGCGAAGCGGGGGTGGGCCGCTAGTTTTATTTAAAACGAGAGCAAATGTATATTTTCTCCATTTTACCTCACTTATAAATGTCACACTTGAAAGAAATTGCTAAATCCTCTCCCCAATTCCCAAATCCTTAAATCTCTGATTCTTAAATGGCACAGCAACGTAGGTACTTGTAACCTCTTTGGTGTTGCGTCCATGGCCGGTGTTGAGAGTTCGTTCATTAAGACTTAAAAAAAATAAACGAGTTTTACACATAATGGTCGTAAATGCTAGGTTTTCTTCTGACGACATTAATTATGAAAATAAGTTTTGTTTTAAATATTGTTAATTTTCATTCCAGGAGTTTGGAAGCACTGCCTTAGATTTTATAGAAGACGATCCCTTAACTCTGAAGGAGGTCCACGAACATATGATAAGGTCACCACCGCCAACAAGTTGCTGGCCACACGGTAACAAACCTCTTTTAAGAAATAAAAAAAGTAAAATTAACAAGTTTATGAAAAAGATTGCCGCCTTTTTTTATAAATTAAAAAAATAATATGTTGTGCTAACTTTTTCCTAATTTGTTTGTTTTTGCTTTTATTAAAACACAAACAATTAATCTTTTAAACTATGAGATCAAATCATTATCTAATATATACTGACTACAGATCTAATTAATAATAAATCAAAGTTTGAAAATACAGTCCACTTTTTTTTAGTAGGTAGTTGAGTTACTCAGAATATTGCAAGATTGCGTAAAAGTACACTCGGTCAACATACTAAGCTGCAGTGCGACTTAACCGCGGCTCTTTTTAACGTGTTATTTTTAAAACGAAAAACAATATAAGCGGCCTCTCTTTCCGTTTTGTTTGGGTTTTAGCGAGACGAACGAAAAGTTTTTTATTTTTAAATATATAACAATGTATTTTACTAAAAAGTGTTTATAAGAGTTTCATTGAAAAAAAAAGGTTTTGAATTAATAAACTTAATAATTATCAAATAATATTTTGCCCAAGTTGTATAAATACAGTAATAAAATCAATACCTACTTAATTATCACTTAACTAGTCTAAATTCACAAATGACTGCCTTCGATTGGATAGTACTCATTTCCGTAAAGATTAAAAACTAGGTCAAGGTGAATGACCGATTAGTTTTGATTAGTACCGTCTTTAATGATAAAACGATATCTTATGTACATTAGATAGCTAATCATTGTTTAAAGTCTGTCTGTGATTATGTAGGCTACAAATTATAGCTCTATTTTCATTTCAGTGCAAAGAACTGACTATCTTTAAATTAAATATTGTAATGAAGTTAGGTCTTAATAATGAATGTTGGTTTAGGTACCTACTGTTAATTATAATCGGGTTGTTGATTTAGTACTTCTATACTAATATTATAAAGATGTAATTTTTTTTATGTAGGGGGTAATCTTTGGAACCGCTGGTCGGATTGCCAAAATTCTTTCATTGATATATAGCTACAATGTTCCTGTGTGCTATAAAACATGCTATGATCAAATGGAGCCGAACAGCGGGTGAAACTGTACGTGAATAGCTTGTCAAATATAAATTAATTCGAATTATGAATGCTATAGAGTGTATAGAGTATAAAATAAATACTTTTTATTATTGGTGTTACGATATCTTCACTTAAAATATGCTATTTTTTTTGAACTGAACTGAAGTGACGACTTCGTTGCAAAAAATATATGACATCACAACACTTTGTTCCCAAAAAGACATATTATAGAAAACTGACGATTCGAAAAAAGGATTGAATTTGACATGTTATCAATTGGCAAAATGGAATGAAAGGAATATCTTAATACGATCCATAATTATGAAAATCAAAAGAAACATTATGAATATATGAGTTATAGTGAAAACTTTTTTCTGGTAGTATTTTATTAAAAGATGAACGTTATTCTCATTCGAGAAAATATGTTTAAAACTTAAAAAAATAGCGCTAAAACGGGGTGAATAGAATCCGATCTCGAATGAGCTGGTGTGTGGTGGTTAAATAGATACTAGAACAATTTAGCAACATCTATTTACTCCTTTTTTGTATCTATTCGGCCTTATTACAAAACAAGGTTTTACTTTAGTCTAGGACTAAACCATTGAGCCAGTTTTTGTATTTCGAATTGAAGGTAGATGACAATAAGATTCGAAATTCAAAACCCAACTCAATGGTTTAAACCTGGACTAAAGATAAATCTTGTTTTGTAATAAGGGGGATTCAGCCAACGAGTCCTATCCACCCCGTTTTACGATATTGTATTTATTGTTATCCTTTTTAGTGGGATTTGTATAACTTATTTTACTTAAGACTGATTGCTTTTCAGTATAACCCATCCTTTATTTATAAGCTAGCTAATAAATAATATTGTTAATATAATACTCCGCTTATACTAATGCTAATAAAATTTTCGAAATAATAATTTTACCATTTCCCGCTCTCCGTGAAGACACACTGTCGTATCGTGCGTCGAGCGCTTTCGACTTCGCCGCTGACAGTCCTGTCTCTTACAGCGCTTACTCAGTCAATTCACAGGAAAAGGTTACTAACATTACTTTTTAAGCGTGCCGTCCTTTATGTTCGTGTGTCACCACTGTCGCTTTTGTGCACTTTTTATTTTAATTTTTATTCTGACGCCATTTTGCTTTTATTTGTAAAAATTTTATAATTAATATTTATCACTACAGTGTAACCTATGTATTTTTTGTGAGCTATGGACCTTAAGCTGCACTAGCGCCGCTTTTAATGAACTTATTTACATAATGTTTCTTTTTTAATTGTGAATATTTGTACAGATGTTTTTTGGTGATGTGGCGTCAACGTTATTTCTTTTTGTACCATATATTATTCTATACTAGTACTCTGTCTATACATAATTTAGATTTAGTAGTCTTGTGTCATTTCTATCGTATATTATTTTCATAATAATTGTCGCTAGTCATTTGGATGGAAATAATTTTTTGACATGGTATTTATTGGTTTATTATACTTTACAGGAACTTCTAGGAGGTAGATCTCCCCGTCGTAATACCCGGTGTGATGAGTCCCGTAATAATAATAATTCGAGTCGACCTCGATCCTCTAGATCCGCTTCCCCAAGGTCACACGACCTTACCCTCTGCGGACGACCGCTATCGTTACCAGGTAATTTGAACTAATATTTTATCAATACAAAATTACGTTTAAAAAATAAATAAACAGCTAGTGACAGTTCCGTCTTGGACTATGGGCCTAAGAGGTATTGCCATTCGTGTTGATATTGTATCTACTTTCACGAATACAGGCAAGGAATTTAGAAAAGGCAGTTTAAAAGGTAAAATAATGGGTAAAAAATGAACTTTTTTTCGTATTTATTTTTACGCTATGTTCGTTATTATAATTTCGTTATTATAATAATACGTGTAAGAAACTTGTGCAACGCAACTTTAAATAAAAGTGCGTTAAACTTTTTTGAATTTAGAACAATAACATTTTAATTTTCTTTTTGAAGTTAGCCAACAAAGTAGTTTGGACTTAAAAGAGGTTCCACGTGTTGTTATACATAAAGGTACGTTTACCTACGGTTAGCAGTTTGTCTGTAGGCTATTCATTTTCTGCAGGTTACATTAATTATAAACTTCCTCAAAACTGCGAAATGTTAAACTACCTCATCATAATCAGTACTGTGTCTACTGCTGTATATAAGCCTCGCCATTGAGCTCGATGTTCAGCTAGTCTCATCCAGCCACTGCCGAACTGCACGTATCGAAATATTACAAAACCATATTCATCACAAATACATTCACAAAAACCTAATTTATTAAAGACTTAATTGGGTTTATTTTCAGGCGAGAGTCACCTTCGTAACGCGTTAAGCAAAAAACAAGGCAGCAATCAAAGCGAGAGGTTTTCCCTCCTCCAGCATCCACGTCCTCTCCGGAGACCTCACAATCGACGAGACGAGGATAGCGTCCAACTTGTGCCAGACTGCGATAAGTAGTACAATGAATGCATATTAAGATATATAATCTGTTCTAACGCAGAATATATGGATTTACCGCTGATATAGATCTGTCTGAAAATTTCAGACATTTACAGATGAATCGATTTTTTGTATGACCTTGACCTTCGAAGCTGAGGTCAGTTTTTTTGACTACAGTTTAAATATTTGTCTTGCTTTTCGTATTCATGGTCAGATTAATATCCATCTGAAAGTTGAAATTATTTTTTTCTTACATTTGTCTGAAATGAGGTCAAGGTTATATTGAAATCGTTTTAACGTCAAGGGATCGGTGCAAAATGTGTACCGGAATCGAAGGTTGGATATTGACGGCAGTTCGGCTATTCGTTGGACAAAGATTATTAAACGCTAAACCTGTTAATTCCTTGAGAATATATTAGAAGATTTGTACCTTTTTCTTCCAACCCTATGTGAGGATTATAGCGAATTTTCTTCATAGTGAAAATATCTCTTAAATTCAAGAATTACTATTAAGTATATTTGTCATTTGTTTGTCACACAGAGGTGCACTTTACCTTTGAGGTTATACCCAATGATGTATAAAACTATAGATACGTTGTCCGCGCTCTAAAATGACAACATGAAATGAAGGCAATTGACAACATCGCGCTTAGTTACGCACCAACCTGCCGCGCGACGCTACGTTTGTTTTTAATTTATATCGTGTGTGTAAACCTGTGCGAAACATAAAGAAAGCATGCCGTCGTGTGTGTTCAGACGATGTACAAATTATACTCCAAAAGTAAAAGACAAAAATGTGTCATTTCATGCGTAAGTTCACCAAACAACCTATTTTTATTTATTTTTTTTGACGCCCACGCCCGCCCTCTTATGAAAATGTAGTTTTACTATTACTTATCCTGTGATGTAACTGAAGATGTATATTTATCTCCCTCTAGCAAAGGCATTCCATTACACGATGTCATATTTTCTTTCCCTTTCTTTACTCGTAGAAGTAGTTATCTAGTATTTTCGCCGTTTTTAAGCGCCGCGATGTTGGTTCATGACGTGTCTATATATAAAACGTCATTGGTTATACCCGAATATGTTACGATTTAACAAAAATAATGCGTGAACATAAAATGGTCAATGTGCACATAGTAAATATTTTTATAATAATTGCAAAAGTTTTGAAGTTTTAGGTCATAAAAAGTTTAACAATTTAAAAGAAAAGTTTCAATTTATAAAATTATGTGACAAAACGGAGAGGAATTTGATAAAAAAATAAATAAAACAAAAATAATCCTAAAAAATATCGACACAATAAAATAGTGTAGTAAAAACTGCACAGTATTCTTAAATTACAAGTTTTAAGGTATCATTAAACATTTTTAATTAAATAATTTACTTAAAATAGATGAAGTTTTAGAAAAATGTTTTAATTAGTTACAAATTTTGAGGTTATATCTAAAGTTCTTGTTAATACTTATGTGTTATTGTAGCAATGGCTCATTGGTAAATCCTATTTCTTCAAAATCTTAGTTTAAACGAACGTTTGCTAGAACCGACACAATATATGCGAAATATCGTTGCACTTGTCTCAGAATTTTAGGAGATCAGGATTTATCATGGTCCAAAGTTTTGCAATAACAAAACATTTTGATATTAAATTTACTTACATTTTGACATTAACTTACTCACGGGAATTAACTGACAAACCCTTTACTAGTTTCAAGTCAAACCAGACTCTTCTCATGAGCAGCGTGTGCGTCGCGGTAATATCGCGCACAGCCAACTTAACTCTAGCTTTTCTGCGTTGATTCAAGCCCTTATTTTCATAACCTTAGTATGTCTCTCAAAATTACATTTTGATATTATTTAAACGAAGTTTTTGGAATATCCGATATTGCCGAAAATATATTATCAGGTAATGTGCCGTTATCACCAGTTTTATCGGCAATTTTAACAGCATCATTGCCGAAATCTAGCCTCTAGTGGTAGTCACGCCACGTAAATTCCTACAAAATGCTCACTGTAGTTATTAAACGCTGTCCCTACCAAATTAGGTGGATTTTGATGATTAGTTATTAGGTCAATAGTATTATTGTTACTATTAAAATAAGCTTTATTAGTTAATTAATAGATTAGCGCCAAACGCTGATGTAGTTAATGATTGATATAACAATTGAGGATGAAATGTCTTTTGAAATATGTATTGTATAATATTAACATATGAAAAATGTTGATATCGTCAAGTCGATTTTCGTAAAGTTACGATTTGTGCAGACCATTTAATTTTTATTACCGTACTATGAGTATACATTGATTTTATACAGTCGTTGCTCAACTACGTTTCCCGATAACTTAACAAAATGTTTTTTCCATGTTGTCCAATAGACAATCAGCATCGTTTCTTTTTTCTGAGTGAAATAAAAAGTAAACGATTATACCGATTTTTTTACACTAGTTCAAAATATATCCCACCATTGTTATTATTATTTTTATAAATTGTTCAGTCGGCATCGCAATGGTGCAATAATATTGAAAATATTGGCGAATGGTAAGTACTTAAGGACGGGTCTGCATTCCCAATACAATTGTGAAATATCACTATTTATACTGCCAGAATGTTAATATGAAAATTGGCTGATTCTCAAGGTCAAAGGTCAAATTATGACGATATTTATGTTGAAATATTATTTTTTATCTCCAAAATCTTTCTCTATGTAAAACTTAATTCTATGCTATTCTTATGAATATAAAGTATTTAGTAAATTCTTCATGTATTATGTTTAGAAAGTATTCTAAAATAATTTTAAGTAAATATTTTTTAGTCTATTATAGAAACGGTTATTAATTTTTGACGTTGACTGTACTTATTCATACTATGTACTTGTTTCTAGAGTAAATCGTCAAAAATGGCGATTAGGGTAAATATAATTTCGGTGTTTAATTGTGAAATATTTAATAATTAATATTGTAATGAGTCAAACCCCGATAGTTAAAAATCAGTTTTATTGATCGAATTTAATATAATTATACTTACTTAAGAAATTACTAAAATTAATATTGGCAATGTCATCTAAATATATTTACTTTACGTCGTATTTATTGTAATTTTGATATTTCTAACTAAATATTTATTTATTAACGAATATGTATGTCTGTTGAATTAATTAATTTTAATGAGAAATAGCTGAAATTTAATTTTGGCTTGTCTATTTAGTGATTTCTATGTTTTATTTGAAAGAGGTGTGCTACAACCGAGTCGCTTGGGGGTCCATTTTCTTTACCTCCAAGAGCTGGCAGGCTAGAATAACGTAGTAATGAGAAAAAAGTAAATTATTAAATTTCTACGATACTCCAACCTCTTTGGCCTGCTACCATCTGAGTAATGATGACCTAGATTCGTTTCGCTCAGATACTTCAGTCAGAATATTCTGGCGAATAATGTTAAATTGATATTGCCTCTTGACTATGCCCTATGGCATTGAACAGCGTGATATTCTGTTATATTGTATATGAATCCCTTCCCTGTTAAGTTTTGATATTATTGTTCTTATATTATTATCTAAAGTTCGTCTCACAAGCACTGAGCTTATGTGTAAAAGCTATCTATTATTATTACAATGGGGTATTTGACTTAATAAATAAAAAATATACATTTATTATTTTATTATATTATAACCTATACTCAGATTGTTATTTTATTCAGTTTAAGGATAAGTTTAAAAAAAGAACCATTTGTCAAAATTATGTCGATTCCGATTTTCGAATGTTACTAAATTGTTCGAATCGGAATGTAACTAAATTAACGTTGTCTACAGTTTTTTGTCACTAGGTGGCGCTAGTGTGGCTCAGGTGTCATTTCGTCCAATAGGGATTCAGCTAGTGTTACACTATTGGACGTCGAATTTTTAACAGCCAATTTGATTTGGTCAAAATCTTCTCTTGATAGATTTGCATCATCTGATGTGCAAAAAACGATAGCCATCATTGAATCAATTCAAACCCTTATGAGGTGTACATGGTGTGCTGTTTTGTTATTTTGTTATAATCACTTTATATTATATTTTGTTTTAGCCATACATAATGAAAGATGATATTATAGATAATTGTTTTAGAACTTTATTAGTTAATTTAGTCAATTGTAAATGCAATTTAATATAGTTTTAAATGTTTTCTAAAAGGGTAAATACATAATGACACGTTTGCTTAACAACACAGCTGCGATTCTTTTGTCTTTAGTATCATCAAAATTGGCCGAGCCATTTATGAGAAAATGAGTACATATTATGCACATAAAAAACTTGTTTAATGTTAATGTGTTGAGTCTCCTCTTACGCGTATATTTGCCTTTTTAAGAAATATTTTTTAAACTTATTATTGTTAGTTTTCGGTTTCTTTTTAAAGATAAATTGTTGTTTTTTTTAATGGATGGCCATTAAATATGTATATCCAATTAAATGTGGCATTTCAGTGTAAATACTTGTATGTTGTAAGTGAATCGCGTATGGTTTATTAGATGGAAGGTACTGTATTCATAGAGTACTTTGATTGACTGGTTGATATAATTATGTATATTTAGTCACCATTTGTCAGCTGTCACCTTACAAGAACAAAAGTTGAAGCCACATTTGAAAATTAGAAAAAAGAATCTTTGTATTTTATATAATTTACAAAAAAAATACGACAACATCTGGCCATCGTTCGTGCTGGGACTAGTAAGTCATTGTTTTTTCATTTTGGAAAGTAATTTAAATGTAAAAATGTTTTTTTTTCTCAAAATTCAAAGTTAAAAGTAATGTTTTTCTATTTTTATCAGTTAATTGTTAGTTTTTTAGAAGCTATTTTCTGTCCTGTCAGTGCTATGAGTCAAATAAAATTCAAGCGCTTGTTTTAGTAACAGCGTGTATAAAACAGTAAGATAATTTCCATCCATTTTAAAATTAACGAAAAAAAATCGTGACTGTCTGTGGACTTTATTAGTGCATTATTCTGTAAGTTTATCGTTTTATTTACTAAGAATTAATTTTTGGGTAACATTCTGTAATGCCAGTTTTTTTGTCATGATTAACGTCATCATCATCATCATCATCATCATCAGCCTGATTTCGTCCACTG